ATCTCCCCGAAGTCCTCCTCCACCCTTAGCCCGGGCCTCACCGCTCCGTCACGGCCTCTGAGCATGTTGCGCAGGACCGCCTCAAAGCAGAGCCTGGCCTCCACCCTCAATTCGATGGAAGCCAGCTCCGTTAGCGTCCTCAGCTCCGCATCCACCGAAGCCACCACCGTGTCCCGAGATTCATCAAACACCGACGACAATTCATCCATCCGCGAATCGACGCCCATCCCTGGCAGCAAGCCCTTGTACGGCAACGGCGGCAAGAACAACAAGGAGAATGCTCTTCACACCCAGATCGAAGACCTCCTCACCGCCTTGACCGAACTGCAACGAAACCACGCCCAGCTCGCGAGCGAACTACAAAAAGAAAGGGAACAGCGCGAGGAGGACAAACAGGCTGTCCGGTCGCTTCTAGACGGCTTGCGCAAGAAGGCCAGCAACGACTCCGTCAGTACCGATGCGAGCGTCGGTACTCTCAAAGCAGCCGATGACTCCGCAGCTGAGGCACGCGAGGGAGGCCAGGGAGACGTGTCCACTCCTCCCAAGACTGACGAGCAGGGTAGCCCCTTGCCAGAGGATCTATCGCAGCTCCTCGACACCGTTGAAGAAAGGTTCGGGCGCCATGGCAGTGGCGATCTCAGAATGTCTCGGGGAGGGTCAACGGCGCAGATGCAACAGGAATTGCAGCAGCTCAAGGACCAGCTCGCCAGTGCGATATCGCAATCCCAGGACTACAACCGAAAGATTCTCGACTTGGACCAGGAGATATCCGCCCTGAAGGACCAAGTGCGAGAATCACACTCGCATACACGCATCTTGCACCAGGACAAACAGCGACTTGAAAAGCAGATACATAACATGAGGGCGCGGGCATCAGCCGCTGAGGCGGACAGCAACACTCGCCAGGTCAGCGATGGGCTCATGCGGAAGAGCTCCACGAGCGGCGCTAGCGGCTTGAGAGAGCTGAAGCTTAGTAGGAGCAAGTCGACTCCATCTCAAGCTGGATCGATCTTTAACAAGCGGTCGTCATCCCTGCCGAAGCCGCACGACTCGACCCCTCCACCAGCCACCCAGACGCGTCCTCCGCCGCCAACGGACGACCAACACGAGGCGTTGTTGCTGGAGCTCGTTCAGGCCAAGACCGCCGAGGCTATTGCCAGGCAAGAGGCCGAAGAGACGAAGCAGAAGCTGGAAAGCCTGCGCAAGGCGTATGGTCTCGCGTCCGCGGAGACACCACCGCCAGCGGCAGGATCCGCCGCAGCGGCGGCCGCCATGGGCGTCTTCGGTCGCCTCACGGGTGCAGCTACAGAGCCCGCCAAACCCGCCCCACCGGCGACGACTACGGCTGCGACCGCCGCGACGACGGCGGCGGGAGGCTTCTGGGGTTGGAGGAGATAGACGGGGAGTCGGATCGACCACTTAATGACGATATTGGCGTTTCAACACATGACTAGAGAAGCATTCGGAGTATCTAGCGCATCTTGCATTCTGGTTTTATTCGGTGACGGGTACCAGACCTGTCGCCTCGCCGCCACTGCCTTGTCGTCCGCATTCCAAGAGGGAGTAGACCAAGGCATTTTGCATGCGTGGAAGCTGGGTACGCTCTTCACGTTGGGGGGGTTGGAGGGTGCATCTTTATTCTCTTCTTTCTTCTTCTCACACACAACCCCCATTGCATTGGCATTCTAGACTGTTTACTCACTTTTATTCCTCCTCTTACCCACGCAATGTGGCATCGGAGCTGGGGAGACGACACTTCTCATAACCCCCGGAACGAGACAGAAACGTTTTCATCTCGGGCCCTTTCATGAACTTGTAATTTATGTACACCGGCCCCATATGCGATTATATGTAGCATGGGCAGATGGACCGGAGCTTTTCCCCTTCTCATTCTCGCTCTGGGACCGCCGAGGTTAAAATACAGGCAAACACTATAGAAATACTACTAGTAGTAACTTTTTTTTCTTGAAAGGAAGAATCGAAGGCATGACAAGTGCTAGTTATAAAGCTACTAATACGATGGGGAATGAATACTCCGGAGCTTGAACGTGCGCTTCTTTGTGTTCACATTCATGTGCGGCGGTGACGGAACATTTCAAAATCGGCCCACGCGCTATACCTGGGTAGCTTAACCCGTCACGATATCAGCCGTCAGCGTGTGTAGGTAGGTATGGCATGGTCCATGAGCATCAATTCAGGCCAAGGTGGGCCGGGCCCCGTCAACCCCTTTTTCGGTTGCCTGATTCGGCAGTACCGTGGATCACTCTTTCCCGGTAACATTTATTCACATGGCACTTTGGGTGGCCGGGTTTTTTTTAATAGGTAGAGTGGCCTCCATCACAACTGCTTGACCCCTTGGTCTCTGCGTCCCCGCCCATGTCTGGACCCCCAAACCTCCCTGTGGCGGTGCGTTGTGGGAGAATGCGAGATAAAAAAAAAAAAAAAGCGGGTGGGTGGTGGTGCACTGCGGGGCGGTGTGCTCCAAACTCAAATCGGGGGGGGGGGGGGGGGTTCATGGTAAGCGCGATTTGCATGTGAAAGCTTCGGGGCAGAGCAGAGCAGGAAGAATAAGAAAAAAAAAGACAAAAAAGTGTGGCGCCAGCTGGCAGCTGGACCCAGGGTATTGCTGGTTCGGGCACCCTTACGTATGATTTCCCGGACTCCGTTGCTATAGTAGGAGTGGGTTTTCCAAAATAGTGTGTAGATGTATATATCGCTATTGATTAAGAGCTGTTTGATTAATGAGTCTGTTTCTCCCCTTCCGGTTCGCTGGTCATTTTTTGCCCCAACACTTTACGAGGTTGCTGTGACACACGCAGGTGGAAGGTTTTTTTTTTGGAGTGAGATTGGCGGAAGGGGCTGGGTAGTTTGGCTTGGTTTCGACCAACCGCAATCTGCGCCCACGTGTGCGCAGCAAAATGGCACTTGTCAGCCAGCCAAGCTAAAGCCGTCGACGTTTGGCATTGGCGTCGCTGTTTGCTCCGTCTCCGGCCCCCCGGTCCAAATGTCAGATGCCAAAGGGGAGGCAGGAAGAAGAGGCTGACGCACGCACGCACGCACGCACTTGTTCCCGCAGGCCTCGGGTGGCCGCAGCGGCGTTGACAACGTGGGCAACTACGGAGATACCCACGAGGTAAAGGTGGACAGTTGTCAGCTCGCGGCGTGCCCGTGGGCAGAAAATAAGATGGGATAACGTAGAAAGAGCAAAGAAAGCGCAGCTGCGTTTGGCATCATGGTTCGTCTGATAGCCCGTAGCTACCGGTAGCTCCCTCGCATCGGGTTGACCAGCCGATCAGGCACCTCGGCGGAATCGCAAAACGATGCGTTGGCAGTGAACGAATGATAAACGTCCCCGGGGTACCCCGAACTGCGAAGCTTAGGGCCCCGGCAACGGAGGGGGAAAGGCGCTGGCCGTGATGGTAATGATGTTTTGGAAGACCAAGGTGACATGATATCACGAGGTTGTCGTGGCGCGTTGCTGAGGAGGAGGGGCTGGATAGGGCGGGTCATGAGCTAAACGGTGTGTGCATGGCGTAGCTTGGAAAGGAAAGCTAGGACCAGGCGTCTTTCTCCCTTCGCGCTGTCCGCTGACTAACTGGGGATGCATGGTCGGGGCGTTCTGTTTTCCCACCTTTCTTAGGCAATGCATCGCGGGCGCGACAGGTGGAGATGGTGAAAATAGGACGGCATGGCCATTGGTAGGATAGGTGCGGTGGCGTCGCATCGTCTGCCTATTTGTACACTGCTGGATAACGGATAGGTAGGAGTTTGAGGACACACAAGCCAGTCTGAAGCATGAGGCGAAAGAGAACAAAATACAAGGCGAGACGAAGAAGGCAGCATCAGATATCAGCAAACTGCCATGGTTTCAGGATTCCGAGCACACGAGCAAGCCCCCCTGTCGCTTCAGCCACCCCATGATGAGATGGTCAACAATGATTATGGTGTTCTTCTCTGCTGCAGCTAGACGTACCAAGGTACGTACTTGCCCGGTGGGCTGAGAGAGGGAGAAAGGGAGAGTGAAATGCAAAGGACGTCACATGCAGGCCGCATAGCTAGCGGCGACGAATAGCACGTTGCTACGGTGGGATGACGCCGAAGACTGGGGAGGAGGGGTTCGCCTGGCTGGACCGAGGCGATACACCGTCATTGGGCCAGGCGAAGTCCTCCCGGCAGAGATAGGTAGTCGATTGGTACCGGGTGATTGGATGCTGTGGCATAGCTTTTGCGTCATCAATCCGCAAACAAGCCGGGACGGGCACTAGCCACAGCCCGAACAGGGACCCTCTCTATTTTATTTTATTTTTCAGACCCTCTCACGCGTTTCTCGCTCCCCTATGCGTCGAGTACCCACCTACCTACATTCTTGCATTCTCCACCATTGCAGTCATTGGTGCGTGTGCGTTTGCTGCAGTACCTAGTGCAGTAGATGGCGTACATATGGATGGAGTTCAAGGGCGGCCAGGTTGGGCTTGTTGGAACCGGTGAGGTAATGCTTAGTTGGGTGAGGTGAACCACCACACCGCAAGGATGAGATGAGGCAATGGACGCGCAAGAGGGAGAGGAAACCAAACAGAAAGCAAAGAGGACGGGGAAAAAAAAGGGACAGGAGCTCCTCCTGAAGAGTGCAAGCCGCCGTGGTCACCACTTCAGTACGGATACTACGTGGGACCCTTGCCGGCTGGGAGGCCCTGTTTGGGAGACAAGAGCGTCACTGCTTCACCCCAGACAGACAGACCCAGGGGGACGACGTGGTGTTGCTTTGATTTGCTTTGATTTGTTTTGCTCAGAAAAAGAGCGTGTGAGGTCTGCTCTTTTGCGCTGCTCTGCTGCTGGTCCGGTTTGGTCTGGCCTGGCCTGGCCTGGCGTTGGCACGGACAGCCAGCCCCCAGTGGGCTCTGCGGTGCTCCTCCTGCTCCTTGCTTTTTGATCTTCATTTGCATCACACAGCACTCACCTCATACCCAGAGCAAGTACCACCGCCGTCGCCGCCGCCGCCGCCGCCGCTGCACCACTCACCACACACAAAGTCTTTTTTATTTTATTTTCCCTCTTCCCTTCCCTTATTTCCCCTGCCTTCCACCTGCTACTACCACTATCCTCCACTTATCCACACCCACCCACACCCTCCTCGCCTTTCTGGTTTTATCTCCCCTATCTCTCTCTGCCGGAGCTTCCAGACCTGAACATCGTCACACAATCATAACACCTGGCCTTCTCTCGTCCTACAAACACCTCTCGCACCCTTTTTTTTATCCCAACATCTTCTCCAAGCTTCAGCTTCTGCCTCTGCTACTCGCTGCTTCCTGCCCCGAAACCAAAAACACCCCTCTATAACCCTTCCTCCCCCACGCAGGCTCCGATTTCTTGAAACGCTCCTAGCTTCCAAGTAGGTACCGGCATCACACGACACCAATTCCCACCGACCGCCAACTCTCCCCAAACACACGCACCAACACACATCGCAGCAAAAGCTTCGTCGCCATCTTCCACGATGTCTGACTTCCCGGACGCGCCCACCACGGCTCCCTCTGCCAACGGCAACAGCTACATCCAGGCCACCAAGGACAGTAAGGTACGTCGTTGCTGCCCAGTCCAGAGATCCCGCGACTTCCGCGTCACAGATCTTGCTTCCTCAGGGACCATCCGGCTAATGTGTGCAAGTAGTGTTTCAACCTCGCCTCTTCACCTCTAGCGACCCCGATAAGCTAACAATCCCTCCTCAGACGCTGCCGCTGCCTACCAGCAGGTCTCTAACGGTATGTTGTTTTTGCCTTCTACCCGATGACGTCTTCGTGGCGCATCATCACCAAATACTAATCAAATTTCTTCTTTCCAGGTCCCGTCGCTCAGAGTGTTAAGGACCAGTCCGCAAAGACTACCGCCGAGCTCGGCAACCTTGCCGCCGCTCGCAGAACGCCCTCCAACCCCGCTGCCACTGGCCAGCCGTTGACGCACTACCACTCCTTCTTCTCGGAGCTTATCTCGTGGAACAACCCTCGTATGTGCTAGCCCGGCCCCCCTCCTCCCTGATATTCCGATCTCCGACTGACAGCCAGCCTACAGGTGCTTCGGCTATCGCCTACAGCTCCATCGTCGCCCTCATCTTCGCTGCCCGCTACCTCGATGTTTTGCGATACAGCTTGAAGCTCACCTGGATGGTGCTTGGCACCACCGTCCTTGCAGAGCTTGCCGGCAAGCTCGTCCTCAGCAACGGCCTCGCTACCCAGCTTCGCCCCAGACGTTACTTCGTCATCTCCAGAGAGACGCTCGATGCCGCCATAGGAGACGTCCACGAGCTCGTCAACTTTTTCGTCATTGAGGCTCAGCGCATCATCTTCGCTGAGAACGTTGGTGTTTCTGCTGCTGTAAGTTGCTCGCGTGACAGTCCCCACAATAATTGACATCATCGCGACTGACACACCTCGTAGGCTTTCATCGGCTCCTTCATCGCCTACTACCTCGTCAAGATCGTTCCCTTCTGGGGCCTTTCCTTGATCGCCACTACTGCTCTCTTCATGATCCCCCTCCTGTACACCTCCAACCAGGAACTCATTGACGCCCAGCTCAACCGCGCCGGCGAGATCATCACCCAACAGACGAACCAGTTCCGCACCGTCGCCGGCAAGCACACCGCCGAGGCCACCAACATCACCAAGCAGTACATGGGTGACTACACTGCCAAGGCTCAGCAGCTCCTCGGCCGCCGCTCCGCCTCTCCCGAGGCCGCTCGCGCCCCCGCTCCTCCCTCCCAGGCTCCCGCCGACGTCCGCCCCTCCGTCGAGGAGCAGGACTTCCCTACTGCTCCCAAATCCGACATCCAGCCCGAGCCGGTTGTCCCGGATGCCGAGGAGAAGACCCCCATGGTCGCCTCCTAAACATATCGTTTGACTGGTTTTCTGAGTGTACACAGTTGAGCAGGCATATGACGTATGTCTCTCGCTCGACGACAACGGAACGACTCATGACGAACATGAACGAGATCACGCACACCACCTTTCTCTCTGCGGCTTTGTTGGCGTGTGATCTGGTTTGCGGGTTGGTTCTGGCAAGGAGTTTTAGTTGCACATAGCCAGCAACGAAAATGATAATATCAGAAAGTGTCTCCAAGCGGAGGCAAGGGACGTGAAACGAATTATCGTGTACGCATGTAGTGTATTGGCCTCTGTTTTATTTGTTTTTCTAGTCGTCTCTTCATGGCACGCGGCTTTGGCGAAAGGGGGATCATCAGATTGTCTAGGGGACGCAGAGAATCGAGCTGTTTCTACAACTAGTTTTCCACACTCCCCAAATGTGATGTGGATGTATTTGACATGAGCCCCGCCTGTTCGAGGCTGCCAGATGCTACGACGTTGTATTGAGAGCACTGTGGCTTGGTAATAATGATCCACCAAGAAGGATTGGGGCAGGCAGGCAGTAGCAGCTCCACCAAGCATGGAATGACTAGTCAACGGTCTGCACCAGCACGTTCCGAGCCCAGCTCCCTCGGCCTGGTCAACCAACGCTTGACAAAGCCTCCCGAAGAATGGGTCGAGGTGGAGTGGAGCTTCAGGGGCCGGGGACGATTCAGCCGTGCCGCCTTACAAGTCGGAGCCAGGCTCGGGGAAGAGACTAGTGAGTTCTTCATATCCTAGCCCGGGGAAGGAGGGCGAGTCTGTGTCCCGGCACGGGCGGCGAGGTCACCATCAGGTGCGAGGCCCCAGCAATCGATTACCCGGGCCGAGCGAGGTACAGTGTAGAAATATTGAGGGCTCAGAATAGCTACTTTCATGTTTGGCCCTTCATTCCCGTTCCATGTGGGAACATGATATAGATATACCACAGCAAGTAAAAGGCCATCTCAGCCCGGAATGGAGCAAAAAATGAATAAGATGTTTCCTAGAGAGCAAGAGCAAGAAAGCTGGTTCGAGAAAAGGAAAACAAAACGGCAGTAGTAATGCCTGCCCTTTCGTGAAACCACCCGCCGTAATCCCCGTTCGCCGATACAATCCCATGTGCACACACACACATACACACATGAAAAAGCATATACACGCACTATCCCCTTTAATCGCTATCCATATCGAAGGGATCGTCGCTCTCTGGCTCGTCGACATCCATCTCGCTGTCGTCGTCGATAACATAGGTGGGCTTAGCCTTCGCCTTGGTTGCTGCCGCTCGTCCAGGTCTGCTTCTAGCAGCCGGGCGAGGCGGAGACTCGGCCTCTTCCATCTCCACGTCATCGTCTTCGTCGTCGCTCAAGACACGCTTGGTCGCCTTCTTTGCGGCGTATGCCTTGGCAGCGGGAGAGAGGGTGGTCTGCTTGGAGGCAGCCTTTGCCTTGGGTTTGGCCTTGGGCACAGGTGCTGCTTCGGCATCCTTGGACTTGTTTTTCGCTCCCGCAGGGCGGCCACGAGCCTTCTTGACAGGTGCAGCAGCAGCAGCAGCCTTGGACTCTTTGGTGGCGGATGTCTTGGAAGCCTTGGTAGCAGGGGCACCGTCGTCGCTCAAGAAGCTATCAACGTCGTCGCCCTTGGTAAAAGTCTTGTGGGGAGACGAGCGAGCAAGCATCTCGTAGTTGGTGTCGTCGACGCTATCGTCGTCAAAGTTTCTTGACGCCTTCGTCCTGATCTTGGGCAGAGTGGAGTCGCGCCCGTCAGGGCGGTTCATGGCAAACAGACTAAGTCGACCCTTCTCTTTATCTGTTTTGGGCGCGCCAATGCCTCGAACCAGAGCACCAATGTCTCCGATCTGGCTGTCGTTTGCTTCAGACTCCGACTCGTCGTCCAGGACGTACTTGGACTTCTTTGTCGCAGCAGCTCGTTGGCCCCTGCCGTTAGCTGAGGGCTTCGCGGGTGCCGGCTCGGGAGAGGCGCTCTTTTCCTCGACGCTTTGGAAATTGTCCTCAGACAGCTCGGACGACTCGTCAAGAACGTACTTCTTCTTCGTCGAAGCAGCTCGTTGCGTACGAGAAGTGTTGCTCTTGGCTTCAGGCTCGACTGACGCGAGCTTCGCGGCAGGCTTGGCTGTGGGCTTCGTTTCGGGCTTGACGCTGGAGCTCTTCTTTTTTCCCAGATTTTCGAAATCGTCGTCACTATCCAACTCTTCCACACGGGGTGAGGGCTTCTTGGCCGCCACTGGTTTCTGGGCCTGCGAGGAGTCGTCCTCGGTCGCTGACTCTGCCGGGACTGACGTACTCTTCTTGTCCAGGCTGGCGAAATCCTCGTCATCGGAGTCACTCAAGGTATAGATGGGCTTCTTCTTGGTTGCCGCCGCCCTCGGTCGGGTTTCGCTAGTAGCCGCTGGCTTGGCGGGGCCCTTGCGACCGAGAGCAGCAAAGTCATCGTCCGAGAAAGCGTCAGACTCGGCTTCCTCCTTCTTGGGCTTCACCTTTGCCTTGTCAAACATGGCGGCAAATCTCTCAGCTGCCTTTTCCGTTACCTTGGGAGCGGCCTTGGCTTTGGCGCCAGCACGTTTCTTCTCTCCAGGCGCGTAGTCATCGTCATCTTTCTTGGCCTTGCGGCCCTTACCAGCACCAATCTTCTTCGACACACGCCTACCGAGTCTGCGGATATTGGTCTGGATTTCAGCATCCAGGGCCATCTGGTTTTCCCACTCGGCCACGAAGTCGTCGAGATCCCGGGTCCAGAGATCCTTCTCGCTGAGGGCGAGAAGGGCGTCGTGCTCGGCCTTCTTGTTCTCAATCTGCTTCTCCAGTCTCTCGAGGCGCTCGTAGGTCAAAGACCAGATGGGCATCTAGTCAAGATGGTCAGTAATTGAATTGAGCGTCAGGTCAGGGGGCACCAACAGAAAGCAGGTAGTCGTAGCCGTTGGTCTGCTCGTCGTTGTCATCCTCATCCTCATCGTTGCCCTCCATGTCCTCGTCTGTGGACTTCTTCTTGACGTTCTTGTCCTTGTTCTTGGGGAAGGCCTCGTACTTGCGCTTGGCGAGCTCCTCGACGAGGACCTGCTTTCTCTTCTTGGCCACAACAAGCTTTCCTTCAATAATCTCCCTGATGAAGCGAGCTTGCTCGGAGAGCTTCCTGAAGTCCGAATGGTATACACCAAGCCAGTGCTTCTTGCGCTGGGCGTACATGTCCAGACGGTAGTTGTAGAACTCCTCCAGAATGTCCTCGACCTTTTCATACTTGCGAATCTGGCCACGAGTGTCGAAGGCGACCAAGTTTGAGGTGGCAATTTGCTTGCTGAGCTTGAACCGCTCCAAGAGACCGTCCGTCAAGATGTCTTTGGTGTGCTTGTCGTCCATCTGAATGACGAAGTGAACGTTCTTGTGGTCGTTGAACTCCTTGTAATCTTTGATCCAAACGGGGCCCTTGGTGCCGCTGATGACCTCCTCCAGCTTCGCCTTGAAGTCGTCTGTCCACATGCGAATGGGAAGCTCAGTGACAATGACTTCGCCGGTCCTCTCGTCGATCTCGCAGATGCCGTTGAACTTGTAACGGTCTTTTTCGGACTGCTCGGGGGTGCCTTTCCAACCACGAAACCAAGGCATCATGGGCTGGAAGGCAGCATCCTCTGAGTTCGAGGGATCGAGGCGGCCCATGCGTCTCTTCAGATTGTTGACGATATCGATTGGGTGGTAGTTGGGGATGGAGGTACTCCAACCAGTACCAATACCATCAGCACCGTTGCAGAGAATCATGGGAATGATGGGCGCATAGACCTTGGGCTCGATTCTCTTTCCGTCCTCGTACTGCGGCTCCAGGTTGGGCTCATCGAGAGGGGAGAAGATCTTCCTGGCGAACGGAGACAGTCTTGTGTGAATGTAACGAGGGCTGGCAGCGTCTGAACCACCAGCAAGACGAGAACCGAAGTTTCCAGAGGGCTCCAGGCAGTTGATATTGTTGGAGCCCACGAAGTTCTGGGCAAGACCAATGATGGTCTGCTGAAGGGAGACTTCACCGTGGTGGTAGGACGTCTGCTCAGAAATATAACCAGCCAATTCAACGACCTTTTGATCCTTGACCAGGTTCCTCTTGAAGCAGGCGTACATAACCTTACGCTGACCGGGCTTCAGCCCATCGACGACGGAAGGAATGGATCGCATGTTATCGGCCATGGAGAAGAGGATGAGTTCTTTGTTGACGAAGTCCGTGTAAGTGATGGACTTGGTCGAGTGGTCAAGGAAAGTACCGGGTACAAAGTTGCCGAGCCACTCCTTTCTGGCGTCCGCCTTCTTCTTGGAGAAGGCGAGGTCGAAAAGCTCCACCTCGTCCGGCTTCATCGTGTCGAACTCCTTGAGATGGTCGTCGAGGTTGGTGAAGTAGACCTGGGCGTCTTCGTTCGAACTGGTACCCAGACCCTTGTAGTACTTGTAGTGCCACCTGGACAGTTCGCTCCTGTGGCCTTCCTTCCACTCCTCATACTGAGGTTGGGTGAAGAAGGACTTGAGGCGAAGCGGCTTCTTTGGGTTGGGTCCCTGCCAGACCTTCACGATGGGAGTGATGAACTCCCGGAAGAAGTCGGGGATTTGCAACAAGGATGGGTACTGAACTTGCAAGAAGTTAATGAGAAGACCCTTGATATGAGAACCGTCGTGATCCTGATCGGCCATGATCATCAGATGGCCGTAGCGTAGACTCTTCGTATCCGTGTAGGTCTGCTTGTGCTTCAGGCCGAGGAACTGCTTGATGTTCTGGATTTCCTGGTTCTTCGTGATCTGGTCGATAGATGCGTCACGGACGTTCAACATCTTACCACGAAGGGGGAAGACTCCAATGCGGTCGGGGTCGAGAATTGCGCGGCCAGCGACAGCCAAACTCTTGGCAGAGTCACCTTCGGTGAGAATGAGTGTGCATTCATGGCCATGGCGGGTGCCGGCCAAGTTAGCATCAACCAGTTTCGAGTTGCTGATGCGTGATCGCTTGTTTCCGTCGCTCTTGGCCATCATCTTATCGGCTTTCTTCTCAGCGAAGTCAATGATGTTCTGGATGGCGTCTGATTTGGCGATCTTCTTTAGGAATTCCTCAGTCAAGGCACACTTGCTACCAAACTGGCTGACCTTGGTGGTCATTTGCTCCTTCGTTTGGGAGGTGAATGCGGGATTGTTGACAAGACAGTTGACAAAGATGAAGATGTGATTGCGAATGTGGTTCTGCTTGAGAGCGTGGCCCTTCTTCTTCTTGTCAAGGGTCTTGAGCAGGGAGCCGGTAATCTGGTCGGCAATGTAGTTGACGTGCGTGCCGCCAGACGTGGTGGCGATGGAGTTGACGAACGAGACCTGCTGGAACGTGCCGTCGGACACGGTGAAGGCAATCTCCCACCTTGGGTGAGCGTCGGTTTTGTCAACTTCGACAACGACCTTGGGCTCGACACCCTCCTCGGCACCACGTTCCTTCGCGATGGCCTTGGCGTACATCTCGCAGTAGCCTTTGAAAGCAAGCTTAATGTGGGTGCCGTTAAGGTGCACCTTAATGCCCCGAACAGTACCAGCCATGTCGTAGACGCGGCGGTAGATGAGGGCCTCGAGGTCATCGTCGATGCCAGTCATGCTGAAGCGCTTGAAGTCGGGCTTGAAGGTGACCCGAACAAAGTCGCTAGTCTTGCTGCTGGTGATCTTTGCCTTGCCGCACTTGCTCATGTTGTCGGTCCAGATCTGTTTGTATCTCTTGCCGCTGTTGGAGTCTTGACACTCGAGGGTGAACTGCTCACTGAAGACGTTGCAAAGCTTTGCACCGTAACCGTTGCGACCACCGACAGTCTTCTTCTCGTCGTCGTCGTAGTTGGAACCAGTAAGGAGGTGACCGAAGATCATCTCAGGGATGTAAATCTTCTCCTTGCCGTGAATCTCGACCGGGATACCTTTACCGTTGTTCTCAACGGTGATCTCTCCGGCTTCGCGGTCGACGGAGATTTTCATGTAGGTCATGGTAGCGTCACGTTGCTTGTTGTCGGCGGCGTTGACGAGAATTTCATCAAAAATCTTGTAGAGACCAGGAACGTACGTGACCTTGCGGTACTCCATGAGATTCGTCTCCTTGTTGAAAACCCACATGGGTTGCTCGGTTGGCTCCACGGATCCAATGTAGGTATCGGGACGCTTGATGATATGCTCAAGCTGGGTGAGCTTCTGGTAGGTATCGGTAGCCGTCTTCTTGGACTTGGGCCCCGGGGCGGGCTCCTCATCATCGTCGACCATCATGCTGTCGTTTTCGATTTCCGCAAGAGGGTTCCCGCTTGACTTTTTAGCAGCGGGAGCCTTCTTAAGCTTCTTCGCACTAGGGGGGGTGTTGTCGAAATTGGATGCGCCATCATCGTCGTCGGATTCGGGCTTCGCCCGCTTTTTCGGCGCGGCCTTCGTCTTCAGAGTGGTTTGCGTCAATTTCTTCGCCGGCGCCTTCTTGGGGACGGCGGCGGCCTTGGCCTTGGGCTTCTGCGATAAATCAGTATCTGGTCGAGTGTTTGTCCGAGGAGCTGCCGGCTTTGGCGGCAACATAGACATCGTGCCGGATGTGTTGTGCGGAGGTCATGAAGCAAGGCACAGAAAATGTCAACCAAAGAGGTATGGGCTGGAGGGATTGCGCAAATATGGATCTGTGACTTGGGGGCTGAAGAAAGTCCTTTCGCAGCAAGTTTGCGACGACGGGGCAAGCCTTCGAGATTGGAGGTAGGCTGTTGTGAATGGTTGTGCGCGGGGTGATTGAGGGGCTAATTCATGACCGAGAGGAAGAGGCAACTGCACCTCCTTCCTCCCGTTGGGGCGAGAAGGAAGGATACAGCAGCAGTAACGAGGCTCCACCAAGAGACGGGAATTTCTGTCTGACCAGGGAAAAATAAGAAGCAAGCATACATACCGCAGGCGCAAAGTCAGACTCGTCTCCTAAGCTAAACACGGACTCGGCGTCGGAATCCATCTTGTACAAGATTCTGCGCTCCCCGAGGCGCGGGGAGAAACACGAGAATGGGCGGAAAACAGCGGTGGTTGATACACTCAACAGTGGTGATGAGGGTTGAAGATTCGCTCGGCGACAGGTGAAGGAGTACGCAAGTAGGGAATTTGTTCCCAAACGGCTAGCTGGGCGGACCAGGCGCGCAATTGGCACGAACGGTGTTGAGAAAAAGGAGAGGAAAGACAGGAACGAGTGTGCCAGCTCGATCAAAGTCGCTTTACATTGAGGGGAGGAGATGTATGGTCGCGTTGGGCGGTTCGCGTGCAGAGGCCTTGGAGTGGATGGGGGAAGACGTTTTGTTGTTGGTAGCAACCCTTGGGATGTTGATGTTTGGCCCCAGGGTAAACAAATTGGCCAGACTGGAGTCGCGACACACTCCTGGCCTTCTCTGACTGGACCGCGTTTGGCCCCTTCCCTTTGTTTACTGCCTCAGGCCCCAACGCCTATCACGACGTGGCGCCAGGATCTTGGTTCTGCTCTAGAGGCGGGGTGGAGAACCTGCCATGTCTGTCTGCCCCGCCGTCCAATCGAGGCGCCGCGGTGTCACTGAAATTCCGCAACAAACCCAAACAGGCGGGAGATGCCTGACCCACAACCTTAAGCATGGCGTGCGGCGTGTTCACTCACGTCTGTTACTTCACCTGTGGCGATGCGCGAGAGGGCCTTCTCACCCACCACTTTCTCGGTATCTGAAAAGTTGCTCAATGGAATATCCGAAACCTCTCACCCTTCTCAGCAGATTTTCATCTCATTCAAACATGCACTAAGTCACGCCTAGTGCTTCGCAAGACGTAAAAAATAAAAATAAAAATTGAAAAAAAAAGGAAGAAAACGCCTCCCCACTGCCGGTACCATCCGCTTCTTAGACACACCGCTTCTGCACTTGCACTCGATCCTCAGATAACACGCCTGGTCTTTCCAGTCTCGACCTCGTACACCCAGCCGCTCAGCGTCACGCTGTCGGGCACTAACTTGGAGGCTTTGATGAAGTCAATATCCTTCTTGACTGCCTCCTCCAGCTCGGGGAAGGCCAAAAAGTCGGGGATGCGATTCTTGGCCTCCAATGAAGCATCAGCACTAGGAGCACGTCAGCGAACGGTTATGAGGGCGCGGCTCGTGTTATGCACTACCGACCCCAGGTTCTTCTCGATGATGCCGTACGCATCCTCGTTCTTGAACGTCAGCATGCCACAGCCAGTATGCTTGACCAAGACGATCTCGCGCGTGCCGAGGAGCTGTTGCGAGATGACAATACTGCGGAGTCCGTCGACAGCTGAAGCGCCGGCCTGCCGTTTTCACAGTGAGTGACACCATCATGTACAGGAACCAGGGCATCTTGTCCTTACATTGCGAATGACATGCGCATCGCCCAACTCGATGCCGAATGCTCGTGCCGGATCGATTCTGGCGTCCATGCAAGTCAGGATGAGATACTTCTTCGCCGGCGGCAAGGCCAGGTGACCCTTGTCGAAGCTGAACGAGTAACTCTCCGAGGCAGCCTCAACATTTTTCTGAATGTCGGACATGATGAGCATTGGTTGTGCCTCGATATGATTGAAGCAAGTTGGGATACAGTCAGGTATAAACAGGTCGGCGAGGTATGGTGATGACGAGAACAACGGAGAGCCCGTCTCAGGATTGTTAGAGATGCGTGACCCCTGGCTAGTTATTTACGTTTCCCCTCCCGCTCCAAGCTGGTCCGGGTAGTCTATCCTGCGTGCGCAGCACATGAAGTTCTGGGGAACTCATGGTACCTGATTGATTGTGGATGCATTGCGTGCTTTCGGGCTTTTTGTGCACAAAAGCAGCGTTGAGCCAAAGAGCTTCGCCGTCTCCGCACATTCCCAAGCGTAACGGTAGTTCAGTCCCCGGGTGGGAAAAGTAAGGTAGCGCCGCCTGGTTGACCCCAAGGTGGGGTTGATGGCGTCGCCGATCGGCGTTCTCGATAAGCTGCCACCCGGCTTGCGCCAAATCTTGGTTGGGGACTCTTCACGGTGACTGTCTCTGAGCTTCTGCCAAGTACCCGTCGCGGGGTAATTATGTTTCCCGTGCATCGGCGTTTGTTGGCACGCAGGCGTGACATAACCGAAAGCCCGAAAGCCATCATTGAGCCTCTCCAAAATAACCCACAATGGTGGGGAGTAAGGTAAGGTAAGTAGGTATGTAGTTCACCCTGTCACGTTGAAACATGTCGAGGCCCCGTATAACCGTTCATGCAAGCATCGGAAGGAGACCTTTGGTTGATTTTCAAACTCCGTCGCCTGCATAGGCGCCAATACCGATATGAGCTGCCTCGTCTCTGCCGCAACCAACCGAGGCAGCCTCCATCTCAACGCGGCCAGAGCCAAAAGTCTCTTGCCTAGATACCTAGGTTGTGAGCTGCTTATAGAAGAACACCTCATCCTTCAGCTGTCGTGGAACGGCAGGGCTGATGCCGTAGTTGGGAATCCTCCCGACCTCGATGTAGCCGAGCTTATTGTACACCTCTTCTGCCGGACTACCAGCTTCCGTGTCAAGCATCTACGTCTCTTGTCAGCAAGGACCCGTACACACAGCACCTTTTTCGGGTCTCACCAGCAGCGTTCGTCCTCGCTGAACGGCCTCGACCTCCAATGCGCTCATCAGCATCCTAGCACCGCCTCGCCGGCGGAATTTGGGGCTGATGAGGAGCTTCTCGACGAAGCCGCGGAACGGGCCCGTCTCCGAGTAGGGCATCGACAGCATGACCACGCCCATGAGCTCGGTTCCCTTGGGCTTGCTGCCCGGCTCGGATTCGTCGAGGAGAATCAGCATTATCCGGGTTCCAGCAGTCACCTCTGCTATGCGGTCCTTCCACCATCCCAGCAGCTTTTCGTGTGACAGCGGTGGTAAGAAGGTGGCGAGAGTTCGATCTGAGCTGATACAGGCGGCGTGCAATGCTGCAAGGTAGGGAATCAGATGCCCGTGATCCGCCGGGGAGAAGATGTACGGCGTCCCCGAGCTTGAGGACATTGTGGTGGATATTGTCCTCTTTCGGGGTGCCTTATAGTAAAAAGGTATCAGATGTAACAATTCATCCAACGTGTCAAGACTACGTCCCAAGTCAGAGTTGGTGTTTGCTCCGAACTTGTAGTCGTAACTTGATAAGCTTGGGGGCCAGTGTGACAGCTTGAGGGGATGCTTGCCAAAGGCTCAACTCAGCTTAGGATGGATTTGTGAGCACGGCACAGCAAGTTGCGGCAGCTGAGGCTGCGTGAGAGATACGGGCTGCGTTTGAGTCAACTGATGCAATTGACACTGGCGGAGGGTCTCGGAAACAGTGCGGGAGGTCCTGGAAGGATGATGGGTTTGGCGGGGCGGCGTTGCGAGCTCGGAGAGTGTGTGGGTACGTGCAGCTGTCTCAGTCACCAAAGGAATTATGGTGGAGTCGAGTCGTCCAGGTCTGGGAGAAACAGCCTGAAGAAGCTCTTTTCTGACATCGTTCGGTTGTCTGTAGGGTGTGTTAGCGCTGTTCTGCCGTAGGACTGGCCCGACCCACCCCTGCATGGAAGGATGTGATGGAATTCTAGGCCTGAGGGGCGCTGCATATTGCGCTAACTGTTGGCACCTTGTAACGGGCACTGTCATGCCGCAATGGTCTGTATGCCTGCAATCTCGCTCTCATTGACTTTTGCAATATATTGTTCGGGTATCCGATAGAGGAACGGCGGTCGTCAGCATGGTGCTTTGCTCGGCATAGACGGGGTGCCAACCTTGCCTTGAGTGCTTACTGCCGCTCATACTCGTCCCAGAAGCCAGATCCGGGATGATCTGTCTCGAAGTGGAACAAGCTTGAAGGTCGAATCCGCGAGGAATACATAGGTCAATGGTAAAGTTCAAGTGCGTGTTTGTTCACTTCAACATATCCATACCGCCTGTATTCCTTGTTGCCGGCTTCCCACTCTGCCCCCTCCCCCGTTGCCCTGGTCGATGGTTGTAACCCCCGCTCACCCTGAACCAAACCGCTTCATCGCACCCATCAAGCTCCCACACCAACAAATCAGGTCTTGTCCACTGGGACGAAGTCGAAACCCAACTCCCCTGTGCCATAGACATCTGATAGGCTCTTGCAGCTGGACCTTGCAGAGTGACTCCTGTCGTCCCAGCCCACAAACAGGAGCCCGGACACACGGACCATCCCACCTTACCTAGGTACTTACCTAGCTAGGTACCTACCTATCTTACCACTCCTGGCTCCCTCACCGCATTTGCCAGCTAGCTACCTAGTTAGCTGATTGAGTGTATCCGCTTGGTCACCTCCCCTCCTTCGCGTGCCACTGACGTCGTTTTGGACCCTTAGTAGCGTTCCCCCTCCTCTGAAAAGCTTGCGTCAACGACATACTCATCGTCACATGCTCTCACTCTGACTTCCGCCCTGTCAACCACACGTCTCCCGGCTTTTCTTTCTTTTTTTGTGCTATTGTCTCATTTTCCCGTCGCCCCGGCTCTTACACATCTGCATTGTTGCTTCCAGCTGAGCAGCAGCTCCCCGGGCCGCCATGGAGATCTTTCGCAAGGTGGAGCGAGGCATCGATGCCATCTTCGGTGATGAGCGTCACGCCCACACGCACATGGGCCACCAGTGCCACGAGCACCATCCTGCCGGCCATGCCGAGAACAGATTCCAGTCTTTTGCTCCCCAGAGCACCGGCAACGCCAAGTGGTATGTCGACGGATGCTCCTACTTCTGGGCTGTCTCCGAAGCCATTGAGCGTAAGTGAATGCGACATTATCCCTCACCTGCGTCAGCGACTGCCTCTGACCGCGTGTGCATGTAGAGGCCCGTGAGAGCATCTACATCCTCGACTGGTGGCTGAGTCCCGAGCTCTATCTGCGTCGTCCTCCCTCCCAGAATGAGCGTTACCGTCTCGACAACATGCTCAAGGCCGCCGCCGAGAGGGGTGTCAAGGTTAACATCATTGTTTACAAGGAGGTCGAAGCCGCCTTGACACGTAAGTCCCGCCCGTCTCCGACCCTCTATCTGCATTTGAAGCTGACAGGCCACCAAACATAGTCAAGTCTTCTGTAAGTCAACATCAGCAACACCATGTCACACGCCTTTTTTAGCACCCGAGTCATGCTGACATCCTCAACAAGCACACAAGGAATTACCTAGAAAGCCTTCATCCCAACATTGGTGTGTTTCGGCACCCTGACCATGTCCCGACGGGCTACGATTTTGAGGCTGAGCTGCGCCAGAGCTTCTCAAACATGAGCATCAACACCTTCTCTTTATCCAAAGCCTCTGGTGACGCCATCAAGGCCATCTACGGTACTGCCTCCGACGGTGTCACCCTATTCTGGGCTCACCATGAGAAACTGTGCCTAATTGACGGAAAGGTCGCCTTCATGGGAGGTCTCGATATGTGTAAGTCATGCACCCGATCGTTCGTGAGACTTGCTAAGACGAATATAGGCTTTGGCAGATGGGACACCAACAGTAAGCCATCGCCACGATTCAGCCCTTGGCAGCTTGCCATTCTTACTTGAGAGACAGGTCACCCTATCGCGGACGCCCACCCAGGCAACCTGGATGCCATCATCTTCCCCGGCCAGGATTACAACAACGCTCGCGTCTACGACTTTGCCGACGTCGACAACTGGGAGCAGAACAAGCGTGAGTCGCGTTTGATCTTGATGCTGCCATGTATGCTAATAGTGGTATCAGTTGACCGTACCAAGAGCTCCAGAATGGGCTGGTCTGACGTCAGCATCAGCTTGAACGGTGCCATCGTCCAGCACTTGGCGGATCACTTTGTCGACAGATGGTCGGTCACGGGTCTACCTTCTCCATTCAACTGAAACAAGCCACTAACGGTGAACAGGAACTACATCTACGGCGAAAAGTACGGCATCAAGAACCCTGGCAAGTACCAGGCTCTGGGAGGCGCCACTGGCGACGCCGAGGCTGGACGGATCGCCGAGAATGAAACGGAGAGCGGCGGCCTGTTTGGCGGCGGCCACTCCAGCCACCTATTTGGCGACCTCTCGGAGCGCTTCAACCGCGGTATGAGCCGGCTGATGGTCGAAGACGACCAGGACAATGGACCTGGTAGAGTTGTTGACCGCGACGATCGCACGGCCAAAATCCAGCTTACCCGAAGGTACCAAACCCCGCGCCTTACTCGCCGCAAGAGCAACGTACTGATCCGTTGCACAGCTGCACCAAGTGGTCCTCGGGCCACGACACTGAGCACTCCATCGCAAATGCCTACATCGAAGCCATCACCAACGCTCGGCACTTTGTCTACATGGAGAACCAGGCGAGCCTCCCCTTTCCTCTACCAGCCTCACCCTCCGCCCCTGTACACTAACAGATACACAGTTCTTCATCACGGCCACCAGCAACGAGCAGCACCCCGTCACCAACAAGATCGGCCGCGCTATGGTGGACCGCATCATCCGCGCCGACCGCGAGGGCGAGGACTTCAAGATCGTCGTTGCGATGCCCGCGGTCCCGGCCTTCGCCGGCGACCTCAAGTCTGACGACGCCCTTGGCACACGTGCCATCATGGAGTTCCAATACAACTCCATCTCGCGCGGCGGCCACTCCATTATGGAGACCCTCCGCTCTGAGGGCGGCATCCAGGACCCGGGCCGCTATATTCGCTTCTACAACCTCCGCAACTACGACCGCATCAACACCTCGACCACCATGGCCGATGCTGAGCAGCGCTCCGGCGTCCGCTACGAGGACGCGCGCCGCGAGCACGACGACGTTGTCGGTGCCGGCTACGGCGGCCGCGGCGAGGAGACAGGCGCCCGCTGGGGCGAGCGTAACTCCCAGTACGAGCGCTACCAGGAGGCCGCCTCCCGCGTCTCGGATCAGACCTGGGACACCGTGTCGGCCTGCTACATGGACTCGGGCCCGGACCTGCACAGCGTCCCCTGGAACGGCGAGCCCGACGCCGAGATTGATGCCTTTGTCAGCGAGGAGCTGTACATCCACTCCAAAATTCTCATCGCCGACGACAGCCTCGTCATCTGCGGCTCGGCCAACCTTAACGACCGCTCACAGCTCGGCACGCACGACTCGGAGATCGCCGTCGTCATCGAGGATCCCACCCCGGTCGAGTCCGAGATGGCAGGCCGCCCCTTCAGGGCCTCCAAGTTCGCCACCTCGCTCCGCCGACAGATCTTCCGCAAACACCTCGGCCTCCTCCCGGACCAACGCTGCGACCAGCCCAACGACAACTGGACGTCGATAGAGCGCGGGCCCAACGCTTACGACTGGGACTCCCCCGCCGACCGCCTCGTGCGGGACCCCATGTCACGCGAGTTCTGGGACCTGTGGGAGAGCACGGCGCGCACAAACACCGAGGTCTTCTCCAAGGTCTTCCACAACGTGCCCAACGACCACGTCCGCACCTGGAAGGACTACGACGAGTTCTTCAGCAAGCATTTCATCATCCCCGGCGCCAAGGATCAGGAGGACACGAGCGGCAAGGTCGAGTACGGCCACGTCGTCAAGGACGAATTCCCCGGCGGCGTGCGCGAGGTCAAGGACTGGCTCAACCGCGTGCGCGGCACCCTTGTCGAGATGCCCCTCGACTTCCTCGTCGACGTCGACGACATTGCCAAGGACGGCCTGTCCCTTAACAGCTTCACGGACGAAATCTACACGTAGATGTGCAGGCAACCAGAGGAGCAACCCCCTCCCTCCCCTGAAATGTTAAGGGGCCTTCTCGTTGACGCAAACTAGAGCGAAATTAGAAACGAAACACCAGGATTTGTCTTTAATCGAGTGCTTGGGATGTATCTCTGGGTGGAACACGTAATTTACAGCAGCAATGAAAGTTTTTTTTTTCTAAAAAAGAAGAGAGAAAAGCTCCCATTTCCATATCTTGTCTCGTGGAATACACATATACATGTGTATCTAGCCTTCTCAGCCCTACGTGACGTTCCTGCAACCCCTTTTGCCCAAGTAACCCACGCTTCAAACGAAGAAGAAAAAAAGTCATCAAAGCCTCGTTTGAAATCAAAAAGTCGGATAGACTATGTGTAATCTGTCAAACGGTATGTGCAAGGGGATCCCCTACCACAGCCAACCAAAAAGAGTATTATACAGACTGGACCTTTCAGCCATAATCACACCAAGGAAAGACAGGAGAAGAAACGAAGAAATAAAGGAATAAAAGTTCCCCGTCAACTCCGTGAGTATTCGCCCCAATGCTGTAGGTTTTCTCTCTCTTTCATCTGTATTCCGTGGACGAAAGACACTCAAAACGTTTTGACGTCAAACCCACAAATTCGTCATAGCCTCATTTCAGGCTTTCCATTAGTCCAACTTGCGTAAATGATCATGCGTAGGACGATTCTGCTCCTCTAGCCTCTTCAATCCCTGCTCATACGCGCCGGATTTCTAATCCACCTTGCCGTTGCCGCTAGGGCCCAACAGACCCTCTTTCATCAGCTCCTTGTTGCCCCAGGACTCCTCCAAGCGGAAGTGTCCACCACGACCCCGGCGAGAGCGGCTGCGGAACCATGAGAAGGCACCAAAGGCGAGGCCGAGAATGCAGCCCAAGGTCAGGTAGGGGTGCTCAACAAAGGTAACGCGCATATCAAAGAAGATCTTCTCGAAGCTCGAGATGGTGAGCTTGGGCTTGATCTTGGGCGGCGAGGTGACGACCTTGCTGATGGTCTCCAAAATCGAGGTCCGAGACAAAAGTATGTTGTTACCAGTGATGGTCGTGTCCCAGTAGCGGCGGTTCTACAAACAGAGTCAGTTTTGCAAAATAAACCAAAACAAAAGTCTAGGCTTACGTCTTCGTCGTTGATGATAACACGGTCTCCGTCTTTGGTGTCAATGCCGAACGTGGTGCGGACCCATCTCTGCCAGAAGACACTGTCCACCCAGGCAAAGGCAACCTGTTTCCTGTCCGACCTGTCCATGTTGATGCGGGTTGCCTTGGCTGCGCGCAGGGCGCGTTGGTCGCCGCGATCTTCAGCCTCGTCAATACGGAGCTGCTTCGCGTCACGTAGTTCTTGCCGTTCGTGTTGGAAGAGCAGAATCTGCTTGTCCATCCACTCGTTGGCGGCACTCTTCAACTCGTGCTTAGCCCTCATGAAACCCTCCGAGTCTTCCCGGTTGATGATTCCGAGAACAACAATTTTGCCGTCCATGATCTCCCGCGCATTGGAGGCAGTCAACTCGGGAATGATGGGTAGCCAGACCGACTTCATCCAGTTCAAAACTTGGTGGACATCGCGCATCTCCTTGGGTGTCAGCGGCTGGTAATACGTGGGGCGGCCCTCCCTCGAAACGAGCAAGCGGGGCCAGGTGGTGATCTTGTAGCGAGAGTACAAGACGGGATCCTTGGTCTTGACAAGCTTCGCCTTGCCAATCAGGCTGAGGGGGAGACGCTCGAGAGCCATGAAGTCCTCGCTGGTAGTAGCATGGTCGTAGAAGTAGATGAAGATGACTTCCTCCTTCTCCTCAAGGGCTGCCAGGGATTCGGCGTCAACATCCTGAACTCCTTCGCTGATGTCGATCGCCTTCTCGGCGTAGTGAAGGAAGTCGCCGAGGCCCCTCAGACCCTCATACTCGACGCGCTCGCCACCCTTGAAGAAGAGAATGGTAGGGTAGCCGCGGAGGCGGGCGTCCTTGCAAAGTCTAGTCTCGACATCGCAGTTGACCTCTCCAACATTCAATCGGCCCTTCATCTCCTTGGCCATTTGCTGCCAGTTAGGTGCCATGGCCTGGCAGTGATGACACCACGGCGCGTAGAACTTGATAAACCAGGGCTCCTGGGTCATGGTCACCAAAGTCTGAAACTTCTCAGCGGTAAGAGGCACAGAGATGCCGTCCTTGTTGGGAGTAACGGTAGGCTTCTTCGTCGCAGGCTTGGTGGGGGTGGCAAGTGCCTTTCCGGTGGTGCTAGCCTTTGCGTCGGCCTTTGCATCCGTCTTGTCGGCAGGCTTGGTATCCTCCTTCGCAGGAGGGGCCTTGGGGGGGCCCTGGTCTCTTCTTTGGACGGTGCCTTCGCATCAGTCTTCTCATCCACCTCATCGTCTGCGGGTTTCTTGGAGTCGGCCGTCTTGCCAGGCGCCTTGTCGGGGGAGTGTTTTTCACCAGCCGCGGGCAGCTCGATCTTGCTGGGTCTCGTTCCGGGCTTGGCCGCTTCCAGGTACTTTTCGATGATGGGGCTGACTTGATCGATCTCCTTGACGCCCTTGATCGTCTCAGCCACCTCGCCATTCTTGTAGAGAACGGTGCTGGGGTACGACTGGATTTTGTGGGCTGCGCAGAGATCAGAGTAGGCCACACAGTTTACTGAGGCGAAACGGAAGTCGTAGAAATCGGTGAAGGACTCGTCCTCCTTTGAGTTGGGCTTCGAAGTGTAGTAGAACTCGTATAGGGTCTGGAATTTCGGCGCATAATCTATGCAATGAGGGCAGTAGGGGCTATGCTTTGATCAGTAACGGTGCGCGCAGGGCGTGAAGCAACGACAGAGGCAGATACCTGTAATTCTTGATAAGCATAAACTGGTGGGCTTTCACCTCCTTGTCGAAGGTATCTGGTGTCAACTCGAGTATTGGAGGCACCTTCATGGAATTGAAGTAGGTGCTCGCTTTGTCATCCTTCTCTTCCTTCGCTGCTACTTGCACCCCGGATAGCAGGGTCGAGCCCAGGAAGAGAAACAAAGGCAATAACCTCATTGCGACAACGAGGTTGCACCTCGTGGGTGCGATGACTATTGAGAGGAGGGCGGGAGCAAAAGTCGCCGAACAAGGTTGCTGTCAACAGATGAAGGCAGTAAACAAAAGGAATGCGACAAGGCGCAATCGATGTCAAGCCGTAATCAGAGGTGCAGCGTCAGATAGGTGTGGATCAGGTCGAGTCGTGATGCGGTGCGTCGGGAGGTTTTGCAAAGGGATTTGGGGTGGTTAAAACCTATTGGATCGCCGGAGACATGAAGGGTGGAAGAGGTTGAGAAAAGAAGCCAACGTTCCTTTCTTCGTCTGCGTCAAAGCCCCCCGAAATCGTCCTGCGGCGTCGAAGGAGGAAAAATGGGTGGCGGAAGACTGGTGGTGCTTTTGGCAAAGGGGGAAGCCAAGCATAGAGGGACCAACAAAGCGAGCGACGGGGCTGGCAGGCAGGCAGGCAATGGCAATGGCAGGTCAGGAGGTGAACGTGTGTCAAGAATCTGTAGCGTGGTCCAGGTTCAGGTCCAGCCGTTGCGCCAGCCAAGCAAGGAAGGGGGTTCTGATGCCTGACAGATGAGGCGACAAGAGATGTTGCGCGTGTGAGTGAGTGTGTTTTGGGGGGTCAGTCACTGAGGCCACCGTCTCCAGTCTCCTCCAGTTTGACAGCAGGTCGGCCACACACAGTCTGGACTCTGCGTCCGTGGCCCCTGGCAGGGGGGGGGGAATGGTGGGCTGACAGACGGGGAGGCGGAGTGCGGGACCGTGTCGTGCCAGCTGCCCGCCTGTTCTTACAGGTGTGCAAGTGCAATCTTGGAATTTAGGTAGTGTGCCACTCAAGTGGATCTGGAATACGGTACTAAGTATAGGTGCGATAGGTAAGAATAGAAAAAGCAACTTCTCTATCCCAGACTGCCACCGAAATGATCGTGGACGGCTCAGGAAGCTTACTTGGGGTTTCCAGGGTCATGGCCGAATGGCAAGCAAGTACGAATCTTCTCAGCACACGACCACGGAGGGAAACTCTAAGGTACAGCTGGTAATAAAGTCATGATACGGAATGGATACATGCGTACGCACGACCAAAGCAACTATTTTGCTTGTTGGATTCGAGTTGGCCGGTTCAGCTCTCGGCAGCTACGTTCAAGACCTGATCCTCATCGCTGCGGCTGTCCTCCCAAATTCTTACAGAAGTGAGATCATCGACAGTCGTTGATAACGGGCTGCTCCTCAAAGACTGAACAGCAGTTTGATAGACGGTATCGCTACCAAGTGTCCAGTCTTCGGGCGGGATGCTAGGCGAATGGCGTCCAGAAAAGTCCGTACGACCATGGCCTCGTGAGAAATCACCACAGTTGCGGTCCCGTATTTCTTGCAACAGTTGTTTGAAAGCCAGCCACTCATTATATGTTGGCCTTGTTTCGCCTGGCTGCCTCCCATCTTCGCTGCCATACATCCGTGCTGTGATTATCTTCATTGGTGTGTCGCCAGCAGTGTTTGCTTGGTCTGGATCCAGCCCGCGGATATGAGCATCCCGTAAGACGTCGATGAGCTCCATATTCGCGCTTTGGGCTGCAAAATGCAGAGAGCTTGAGCCATGCCTGTCTCTGGCATCAAGCCTGGCTCCGTGTTGGATTAATAGCTCCAGTAATGCCACATTGCGCCACAGGATTGTGTCGTGAAGAGGGGTACGACCCTCGTAGCCTGGCTGCTGTGATGGCAGATCAAGGTCCAATCCGGCATTGCAAAGCAACCTCAGAGATCGTTCCCAGTACCACCTTCTTGGGTCCCAACGATCGACGTTACTTGTCCGACGAGCCCGGTACGACAGCGGGCACACCCAGTCAGTGTCGGTTTTGACGACGATTCTGGAACCGTGCCCCAGCAAAAGTTCAATCATCTCTGGGTTATCGAAGGCAAAGATGATTGCGGTTTCCCCTCTAATACCACGATAGTTCTTGACTTGTGCATCAATATCGGCTCCGGCACTAATGACGGCCTGGGCCATCCTAGTTGAGCCAAAAGGCTCGTATCGAGCAGCGTAATGGAGTGGTGTCCAGCCGCTTCCGGTCTCTGTCTTTGCGCTGGCGCCACGATATAGGAGGACCTCTGACGAAGTGTAGTCGTCAAGAAAGATTGCCCAATGCAATGGACACCACCCATAGCTGTCGAGGCTATCGATATCAGACCGAGAGTGAGTAATTGCGTCCGATACGGACAATGGTGTTGCTCCAAGAACTGCCTCATGTATCAAAGTCGATGTACCACCTGCTTCTGCTCGTGAGAACGTGAGATTCTCAATCATACGGCGATGCTCGGGTTTGAGAGACTGGATTCGGTTGTGCTTCGCGGCATAGTACAGCACTCGAGAGCGTGTTGCGGCCGTCCTAGAATGCATTAGAATAGTGTCTTCAGTACGCTTCGTACATATCATTACCATCCAGTTACGTTTTCCAAATGTAATGGCCAGCCCTGTTGAACAAGAAACTCTGAGAGCGGTAGATTCACTTCACGTAGGGATAACTACAAAACGAGAATGCCGTAAGTAATCAATAGCAGCAACATAGACGACTCAGTTCAGTGGTAGAAGTGAACATACCATGAGAAGCGAGTTTCCATCATCATCCACGTCTGTTGGCAATACGGTTGAGTTGGCAATGCCTTGTTTTATCCATTCAATATCACAGTTGAAAACAACTGATACCAATTGATCTCGGGGGACCAGTCTTGGGATGTGGAGGTGAATAGAAGACCCGGCTCCAGTTAGACTCCCCCAGGAGGTCGCAATGAAGACCGCGCGAGAGAGAAGCCATCTCGGGAAGAGATAGAACAGGCGTGAAGAGTTGGAGGGGCCGGCTCTGCATTCTTGGATGTCACACCCTCTATGGCTCAGGAGCGGAACGCTGTTGTACTGAAGGAAAAGTGTACCGAAAACGGAGCGCATCCAGGCTGGCGTCTGGATCCTGGAGTAATGATGACACTGACATCTGCAAAGAGGCAAACAACTTCTGCGAACCGAAGCCTGTATTGTAACACAGGGGTCCGTTTTGATTCCCGAGTGGTTTTGGCTCGGCGGACTGCCCTGGCTTGAAAGGGAACATTGTGCTGTCAATAAGTGTTCCAGGCTGGATGTTTTTGCGTGCATCTGACAGTCGAGGGAGGTCATCTTTTCCTCGATGCTGGCGTGGTTCATGATCATTATACTACGATTTCTCTCGGTCTCTCTGGCAAAGCCTCGGGAAAACTCTTGAATGAGTCGGTGGACATCAACTATCACTCTGCCCTGTCTCAAACTGCTCACTGTTAACAACATATTGGACAGCGCTTATTGCAATTAGGGACCTCAACGCTTACCTCTGCGATGAAAGCAAGGCAGCAAACGACAGTGTTAGACTGTTTCGCGTGGCGAGTGCCCTGGACCTGAGTTTTGCAATGTTGCTTTGCTCCCGTATCCATCTTCCTTTAGACACCCTGTTTGGTCTATCCTTCTCATCTGCCTTGCCCGTTGATGTGAGTCGTTCGCAAAGAGCACCGAGCTCCTCTGCAATGATTTCTAAGTCGCGTTTCAACACCAAAGTTGCAGACGTATCCAAACCGGGAAGTGTGCGATCACTCGCTCGCTCGCCTTCCAACTCTTCGAGTGGGTTCTTGACCTGCTCAATAACAGCTTGCAGCGTAGTGAGTTCATTCACCAAATCGCAGAATTCTGCAGGAGCATGTCGCAGAGAAGCAAGTAGCTTAACCCCCTTCCCAACAGCCAGCGACGCCTGGACGAGAGCGATTACGCTGGCCGAGATCGAGAGAGGATCCATGTCGAGCCAGGTATGGACGGTGAGGTTAAATGAGAAGCATCGTAGCGAAATCCGGCCCCGGGTTTGCGACGTGAGGGGGATGGCACATTAATGCAGACCCAGTGGCCTGCATACCAGCTGAAAAGTCGGGCGAACCAATCTGGTTGAGTGAGGCTGACTGGCCACATTGGTACTGATAAACAAGAAGGCAGTGAGGGTTGTCGAGGGGGGCCGGGCCTATCACAACACGAGGGGCCCAAAGCCAATAGGTCAGATAAAGACTTAGTCACCACCACCAGGAGACATGATAAGTGCAGGTTCAGGGGATCAATTTAGTCTATGACTATGAAGGACGGGCCCTTAACTAGGCGCTGAGAGACTGGTGCATTTGGATTACACAGCATGACTTAGTAGCCGGACTAGCCGTCATCTTTCGTTCGAGTTCACATACCTAGTTATATTCAAGATAGGCCATCCAGAAGAAGTAACGGCCCCAGGCTCTTTGCCATTTACTTACACTCTGATAAAACCGAGGAATAAACAGAGTCAACCTAATGGAGAAAGGGACAAAGGAAAAAGGAGAAATAATTTGTGCATCGGTAGCAGGTTGCCCTGCCTTTCCATGCCCCTGTGCTCCCGCCACCCTCAATATACTGTTGCTTCTGCTATTAGTACAGCAGTTGTTGCTGCTGAGACGACCAGGTGACGAGCTTAGGAATGGAGATGACTTAGTGACAACTTGGTAACGAGAGAGATTGAGACGACTTGGTGACGAGCCAGAAGATGAGACGACTTGGTGCTGGTTGTAGTCGAGATATGTAGAGGATGAGAGTAAAGTTGTTAGTGAATAAAACACGATGGTTCTGAGAGATGTCTGACTTGTTGAGGTCGGCGCCGTCTGCCCTCTGAGTATTGCTCCTGAAGGTTACCCCCGCCTGCCACGAGGAGGCCGGCGCCATAGGCGGGATAGAATATTATAGTTGATATTATAAGTCGTACTGTCATCGCCGTCGTCGTCCTAAAGGGGACTCATGTTGCCCTCGTCGTCCTCCTCCTCTTCTTCTTCCTGCTGCTGCTGCTGCTGCCGCTGCTAGGCGACCCTGGTCCTCTCGGCCTCGGCCTGCTGGGTGGCCCTGGCTGCAGTAGTCGGACCGCGGGCCTGAGCAGTAACTACGCCCTGGCGGGCGCTCCGGCGGGTTGCCAGGGTATTTCTCCTTCTCGAAGCTATTATTATCGTCGTTGCCGTTATCGTAGCAAGAAACCTAGGGGGCAGTCCTCAGGGTCACCACTTACATGAGTTTACCACTCATCGTCACTACGCTCCTTCTATTATATCTATTCTTACGGAGACTCTTGCATTCATTTGCGATGTTGCTTCCTGCGCAAGGCGTTGTCAGGGAACCACTTGCCATTTGAAGGTATCGACTGTGGCAGGTAGTGGCTACTGGCGTTCCGAGCTCAGCGACGATGGTAAGAGGAAGTCTCAAGCCCTTGGACTTCCCATAGATGGCCCGCCGCTACATTGTGCTTTTTGCCACGTAAGTGAGTCCTGAAGGCGTTCAGCTCGGATGCATGTACTGCGACTGCAAGTATTAGACATGTCTGTTAATGACTGTTGGACTATGGAAATGTTGACTCGGCTACTGTAGAAGTCTTCGTCCTCAACATCGCAAACGTTCAGGATGTAGGCTCATCAGGATCATAATCATGGATCTCCAAGAGCAAGTCATTGGATTTCACAAACTCCTGATTCTGATCTTGTCCAACCGCTCCCTTGGTGTTGACCATAATGCTAACAAGCACTGCCTGTTGTCACGTCTCACACTATCGTTAGTATTCTCCAAACTTCTAGACCTTTAACGCATAACGGGAACGCTAGTATGCAATACCCCTAGTGATTTGACTACAGCAATTTTAACATTTTAAACGACCGTAGCTTAGATTAGATACTCTCAGGCGAACGTAGAGCCTTCGGGCTAATAGTTTCCACGTTGCAAATGAATTGCAACGGTGCATGACAGCCCGCTATCCGCTGCCACGGCTAAATAGCCTCCCGGTCAATCTGCAGTTGCCATGTTGCTGGAATAAAGAGTTCCGTGGCGTCATCTTTCCGAACCTCATATCGAAAGAAAAATCCCTCTATTTTCCCTGGTGCCCACACTTCCATTATTTCTAGCTTGGACATACATAAAGCCGCGTTGCCTGCTCCAAGAACCAAGCTATTTATCTCAGCAGGGCTGGGAAGAAGTCGACCAAGATGTGTTGTCAGGGCCAAGATTGTAAGTTTTGGCCAATCTCGGGATATAGCACGCGTATTTTGGCGTTGAGAAAAGTACGCAGCGTCGATGGCATGAGATATTGCGAAATACCGTAGTCGATAGCTTGCCCTGACAGCCTCATTGACGAGACGGTAGTTGACTGATCTAGAGAAGCGGGTAGACCTATGGATTGCCCATGACCTTGCTTCCCAAAAGATTGTCCTCTGGATCCTGTGGGTATTGGATATAGCTCTAAGGATTATTTTGCTGGCTGTATCACGTTCTCTCTGTCCGTTTATATCAACCTCACGCCAAGAAAGACATAAGACAGCCTGTAGACAAGGCAAGATAGACAGTATCTCTTCCATAGATGCACCTGAAAGACTTCGGTAGTAATGAGGGTCCATAGAAAACGTCTTGATGATATGAACTTGTGGTAAGTTTTGATCTTGGAAATTGGTGTCTAATAGATTGACAAGAAGACGCTTTTCGGCATTTAAAGTCCATCCATCCTGTGCCTGTTGGCGGAGAAAATGTCCGTGAAAGGTCTTATAAGGGTGATAGTTGTCGGTAACAGAGCCAGCACTAAGTTGAAGCCTAATATAAGGTGTCGATGTAGGCTTTCCTCAGTTTGAAAGTATGGAAAATAGAGCTGTTAATGCTTCTGCGAGGGCTAGATTATTTGCCGTTATCGTGTCGCTATCCTCTGGCTGAGCATACTCCGCGCCGGTGTACTCAATCATTCCTACATGTAGTGAGATTTTACTGGCGAGCTTACCTCGGTAGCCTCTTACAATCTGTCCTATGCGATCAATATCAGACCCGAGGGAGCAAATCCTCACAGTATCAAATATCTCAGGCTCCAAAAAGTATTGCCATTCCTTCGAGACACTGGCCCAATGTGCCATTTGCCGTTTTTTGTTGGCCAGCGGCTTAAGCTCCTTAAGTACCATCAGTCGAATCTCCTGTGGCAAGGCCTTCCACAATGGGTGGGGGAGGGTAGCTTCGTCTTGAAGATTGATTTCGGCCTGTTCATTCAAGTAGACGATCTTTGAACGGAACTTCATTGCGTTGACGTGGAGAGTAAACTCAATAACCCGCTTCATCCTTGAATATGAAAATAGTCCGTGTGTCTCTGTACCCGAATGAACTTATTGTCAGTCGGTATTAAGATGGAAGATGGAGAGGGAAAAGACCAGAGCCTAGCTTCAGCCGCCTTTGGTATACCTAGTAACTGTCACGACCTTGAAGGTAGGTTTAATCAGAGTACGGTTGGTAATACCCGTACTCGTTTAATAACCGCCATGGATAAAAAGAGCTATCGTTGCTGCGTGGCTCGCCCGCGAATCTGCCCAACCTTATTCGACATTCAACAGCACCATCACATCTGGATGCCTCCAGCCACATCCAGCTGGCGTCAGAGATGGCATTCGCAGCACCAATGACCCATAGAATCCATAATCAGCTTGGAGTCCAATCATGGCTTTGAGGGTCTACTATACAAAACAAGAAACTACTTGCATGAGTGATTTGTCAGGGCCACCTAGAGCTAGGCCCAAGGAACCAGAAGGTTGGCGCTGGAAACTGATGTCGGCTGCATCGGCCGGACGGATTTCGCCAGCCGAATACAGTCAATTCTGATGGCACGTGCATTGACCACCTGGCTAAAAGGGGGACAGGCAAAAGGGGGGTTTCTCTGGATATTTACACACATAAGCAATAACGCAAGAAGATCCTATCAATTGACGTAGGTACTTTGACAGAAACAGGATGGAGAGTCACCTATTGCCTGCGCTTGCACGGGGGCATTGCAGCATCGTTATCCCTGCTCTTCGTCCCGCTCAGGGCAAGTTTACCCGGGAACTTAAACAATGCTGAGGGCTGGGCTCAGGGTGACCAGCCTAGGCTATCAGTCCCCATACTCAATGAGGATTTGGGACAAAATTCTTGTCGCGGGTGACGATATAGGTGGGTGGGTAGGTACCTGCCTACCTAGGTAGTAGAAGGTGATGCCCAACAAACACCCGAAGCAATAAGCAGACCACCAACTCGGCAGTCCAGTCAGTGGAAGCGCAGTGCATCAGCAGGCACCAACGACGTCATAGCGTTATTGATAGTGCCTGGCAACCGCTGACATTAGCCTTTCAGCTGCTGAAATAGGTAAGGACAGCTAATCGCGTAAGAGCTACCTAGGTATATATAGTCTGGCAATTTCGAGGAAGGCACCAATATGGCTATACATGCTGACTGATTTCTTACTGAAGCAAAACTGAACATAGGGGCTGTCCTTACAAACTTGCCGGCCATCTTTCTTTCGAGTAACCGCCAACATGGAACGGGCCCCGAAGAAACCGCGTCTTGCCCAAGATGTCGAAGATTTCGAGACGGCATCAAAGCCAGATATTCCCCTATCTCTGGGCCGGGCAATCAGCCCTCCCAACAAGAGAAATCGGCAATGCGAGCGCATAAGATCACCTTTCCAACTCACGCGCATCCGAGACTTGCCTGAAGCTGCGAACCGTGACACCGTTGCGCTCAAGGACATCCTCGGGGACCCTCTGATTGCCGAATGCTGGGAATTCAACTTCCTGCACGACATAAATTTCCTCATGAGTCACTTTGACGCGGACGCCAGAGATCTTGTCAAGGTCCATGTTGTTCATGGGTTCTGGAAGAGAGAGGACCCAAACCGGTTGGCTCTCCAAGTCAGTTGACAACGACTTTTACCCAAAGGCCTGTAATGTTTATGAAGTAACAGGAAGATGCAAAGGCATACCCAAATGTAGAGCTCCATAGCGCGTTCATGCCCGAGATGTTCGGCACCCATCATTCGAAAATGATGATCCTGATCCGCCACGACGACTCGGCCCAGGTGGTCATATGCACCGCCAACATGATAGCCAAGGATTGGACGAACATGACCAACGCTGTCTGGCGATCGCCCATGTTTCCACTCCTACCAAACAATTATGAAGATGCTCCATCAAACGACCACCCTTTCGGAACAGGTGAACGTTTTAAACATGATCTTCTTAGCTACTTGAGAGCCTACAACGCTCGCAGACCAACTATAACATCTTTGGTCGATCAGCTTTGCCACTATGACTTTTCAAGTGTGCGGGCTGCACTGATCGCTAGCGTCCCTGGGCGTCATCCCATCCACAACACTTCACAGACAGCTTGGGGCTGGCCGGCGCTTAAGAGGGCTTTGCGTAGCGTCCCTGTACAAGAAGGAAAGTCTGAAGTTGTGGTTCAGGTATCATCCATCGCCACTCTGGGATCTTCAGACAGCTGGATCCAGAAATGTCTTTTCGACTCTCTTGCAGTCTCCAAGAACAGCTCGTTGAGCAACCCCCGACCGAAATTCAAGGTGGTTTTTCCCACCGCGGATGAAATTCGACGAAGCCTAGATGGGTACGCGTCTGGTGGCTCAATACACACAAAGATCCAGTCTCAGCAACAGGCAAAGCAATTACAGTACCTGCGGTCCATGTTCTGCCATTGGGCGAACGACGCCCCTGATGGAGAGCGTAGGTGGCAGTGTGGCCGTGGAGGAAGGTATTTACTAACGTTCTTTTAGCTTTACCCGAGACGGCAATAATCCGAGAGGCTGGCCGACAACGAGCAGCACCACACATCAAGACCTACATTCGCTACGGCGAGAAGTCGATAGACTGGGCCCTCGTCACATCGGCCAACATTTCCAAGCAAGCATGGGGAGAGGCAGCGAGAGCGTCTCAAGAGGTCAGGATCGCATCTTGGGAGATCGGAGTATTGGTGTGGCCTTCCATAATAGCAGAAAACGCGACTATGATCGGAGCCTTCGAGACAGACGTACCTCAGAAGGACGCAGGGGACGGAGATCCAGTGGTCGGAATGAGAATCCCCTACAGTATTCCGCTTCAGTCATACGGTAAAGACGAGATACCGTGGGTGGCGAGCATGGCTCATACGGAGCCAGACAGTATGGGAAGATTTTGGGGCGTCGAATAGGCTAGATTGCCAGCAATTGTTACAGACACGGCACGGAGCGAGTTGGCTGGAGCGAGTCTAGTATCATTATATTGAACCTGGATTCTTTCTCGGTAAACATCCTAGCCTTAACCATTGCTAATCCGTATCAACCGTGTCATTTCTCGTGGGCGTTGTAGGCGGGTATAGTGAGTTAGGCGCCAACGGCCTCGGGCTCCTTGTTGGCGTCGTAGCCGTACTTCTCCTTGAGGCTGTTGACAAGAGCGACGTACTTCTCCTGGGCCTGCTCAGGGGTAGTGCCGTCGTCGACAACCTTCTGCCACGCGTTCTGCTTTGCCTTGCCCTGTCACGCGAATCAAGGTTAGCGCCATTCACGTACAAATCCCGAGAGCTCAGTGGCTCGTTTGAAGGGGACGTGTCCTTACCTTGAGGTCAAACATGCCAGGCTTGGCGGCAGTGGAGATCTCTTCGCCGGTACCGACCTTGTAGAGGCCTTTAGAAGATTAAGAGTCAGCTTCATGGGTTCTCTAGCCAGGTCCGCGGGTTCAAACGCACCGTAAAGCTCAAGGAGCTCCTCGTTGGTGGGCTTGGCAGTAAGCTTCTTGCTGTCGATGACAGCCTGCTTGAAAGCTTCGCTCTGGGAGGCAGACATGATGTGTAGTGTGGTGGAAGAGGGTTGAAGGCTGTTTTTTTTTTTTGCAAGGGAAAGGGTCTTGGATTGTCTAAAGTTGCGAGTGTGTGTGTAGCTGTGAGGTTATATTCCAGGAGGGGACTTGTTGGGAAGGCGGAGGGAAAAGGGTTGGCTGCCTTTTGGCGGGGTTAAAGTGGTGAACCGGGTCCCACATACCCGCTTGCATCGTATGCGCGGGGCAGCTGATGCTGTCATTAGGGACACTGCACCGCCACAGCGACAAAGAAGATTGCGTCTCAACTCCATTCTTGCAGGCTTGTGCTTGCTCGGGAACACGGTGCAACTGAGGTCGCACAGGTACACAATAATGATACTAGCACAGTCGGAAAAACACAGTATAAGCCCTGTAGTTAAGAGTTCGCTGAGCTTAGGCCGACGCGAGCAGTGAGGGGAAAGTGAACGGACCGGACTAGGGCCAGAGCGGATGCAGGTGGCTTCATTGCACCTTTCCTTAATTACCTACTCCGTACCTACCTTTCTTTGTATGTAACCTAAGCATTGTGGAGCCGACCTCTCTACCTCGGCTCAGTTGAACTCACCTTTCTGCAGGCTCATACTTTACCTACATCCCGTCGCTGGCCTCATCACCCAGAGAGTCATTTCCTCGTTAACGGGTTCACCACTTCAACGCGTCATTTCTTAATGCATCCCACTCTTTGGTCGGGGATCACGGAATCCGGACGATGTCCATCCAGGAGAGGATGTTCAGCTTCAACCTCAATTCGACAAGAATGATGCCAAACTGATACGCCAGACACGAACGCGTAAGCAAAACAAAACAAGAGTCGCTATCTGACCGTTGACTGCAACCGCATATTTCGGGTTACTGTCTGTACAGCCAGCAAGATATGACGAGGTCTTGCTTTACGGCCAGCCCTTGCAGTGTACCCGCTACGTCGTGCACCATGCCATGAAACCGATAGATGGAATAGAGGGCACAGCAGAGCGCCTTGCCAGCTGAGCACAGCGGTTGTTATTGCACCGGGAATGTCGAGGTCCTTATTCTGCTAGAGCCAAGTGGTCTGTTTATCCCGAAAGACTGATTTGGATGCACGGTTCTCTATCGTGGTTGACAAGCCTGGCGCATGCGAGCGCCGTGATGGCTACATGGATGCTACGGCAAGTCACATCCTCCCAATCAAGACAATTACCGCGCGCACCTTGGAGGTTGCTCGAAGAGACTTGTCTTCGTCCTTTGTTCAGGTCCGGGCGAATCGGGAGGCTTCGGTACTTAAAGCCGTTCTCCCACATTGAAGCACATGGCGGCTTGCTAGGTTTCTAGCCTTGGAGTCGAGGCCAACCGACAACGGACATCAGTCCACATAGAAACAACGAGGAAACACAGCCAAGCTTACCTACACCCTCCATTAGCCCTTTTTCTGCGTCCACTTTCTGTATTGAGCATATACTCTACGCTTGTTTTTCGTCTCTTTCCTCCCGCGCACCCTCCGCCGTCGAATGACAGCCCGGCATGTTGTCTTCTTAGCGTGGGGAAAGCCCGGACGGCCAACGGAGCATCAACGTCCCACCCGCGCAAGGACGGACATTGAAGGCTTGCTTGAACAGACCCCTCTGCCCTACCAATTACATGCTGTGCCACGACCGGCACGGGCTTGAAGACTGAAACCTGTACGAAAATACTAATGCTCTGAATCCATTAGCGCAACCTTGAGTGGACGCGTATCCGGACCTAGATGGTGTGGTGGAGAGGCGCCACAGATTCTTGCTTTTTGCTTTTTACGCATCTCAGACCTAAGTAGGCTGTGAGTATGAATAAATACCGGACTTCTCGCTGTTTTCTTTGAGCCTCGCGTCTTGGCCTTGAATGCATCTGACGGCTTGAGGAACTGTTACATATCAGCTAGCACTCATCACGCCGATTCCCGGAACGAACAAGCATAACATCGTCACTGCAGGCGGAGACCGTCTGCGCGTCCCAATCCACGAACCCAATAACCCAATCAGCATAGAAACCGGACTCCGGCAATACGAAACATACAAAATGGTCAAGACGGTCGTCATTCTCGGTGCGGCATACGGCGGCCTGGGTGTCGCCCATCGACTGCTCAAGTACACTCGCCAGACAGAGGAGGATATCAGAGTGATATTGGTTTCAAAGGTATGCGACCCCTCTACTTCAACTGCTATAACACGACTCTGGAACACCTGGGAAATCGGATGGCTCTCGCAGGGCCCGATGGTCGCGCTAGCCTTTGCCGGAGCTGCGAGGACGAGGGATGTAGATGGCTCACGCTTCATGTGCGCGCGGGCCGATGAACAGCACGTCAAGAGCTAGAGGATAGTTTAGAGAAGATCTGAACCAGAAAATACTGCGTATAAAAGGCTGACAGAAGTGGCAGACAACTCATTTCTATTGGAACCTGGCCTCTGTTCGGGCCGTCGTGCCAGGCATCGTTAAAGACGAGCAGATCTTCCAGCCCATTGAGTCCGGTTTCGCCAGCTACCCCAAGGAAAGCTTTGAGTTCGTGCTCGGCACGGCCACGGGCCTAGACATGCACCGTAAGGCGGCCCTCGTCTCCACCCCGTCCGGCCCTCGGTCCCTCCCCTACGACTACCTCGTCCTCGCCACCGGCACTCGCTCCGCGAGCCCGGACATGCCGTGGAAGAGCGCCAACTCGCACGAGGAAACCATCGACCTGCTGCATGAAACGGCGGAGAAGGTAAAGGCGGCGAGGCACATCGTCCTGGCCGGCGCTGGCCCCACCGGTGTCGAGTGCGCCGCCGAGATCCGCTTCGAGTACAAAGACAAGGAGGTCGTGCTGCTGTCGGCCCACGAGGAGATCCTGGCAGGCGACACCATCGCCAAGGGCGTAGAGAGCGAGATCGCCCGTCTCGGCGTGCAGGTCAAGAGGAACGCGCGGGTGAAAAGCTCGCGTCCGCTGCCGGATGGTAGGACAGAGGTGAAGCTCGCGAACGGCGAGGTCATCACGACCGATCTGTACCTGCCGACTATGGGTCTCGTCCCGAATACCGAGTACCTCGATGTCAAACTGCTCGACGAGCGCAACTATGTCAGCGTGGATGAATGCCTACGCGTCAAGGGCGCTGATAACATCTGGGCGTGCGGAGACATCGTCGCCTCCGCGCGCGCAGGTTTCTTCCTCGCGGACAAGCAGGTGCGTCTGCAGACCCCCTCTCCTTCGCCTACACGTTGCTGGAGGTGCCGTGCGCAACATATGACTAACGTTTATTGCAGGCCGCCGGCGTGGTCAAGAACATCGAGCTGGCCATCAAGGGTAAGAACCAGCTGGCCATCAAGGGCATGCCCGTCGACGTCTTCTTTTGCTGCACGGGCCGCAACCGCGGCGCCGGGCGCATCGGCTGGGTCAAGGTACCATCCCTCTTCGTTTGGACAGTCAAGGGCAAAACGCTCGGCGCCCACTGGACTCAAAAGTATACCAATGGCACTTACTGGTGAGGGAATATGTGTATGCACTCGGAATCGGTGCTTTAGAACTGTGATGCCATGTTTGAAAGGCAAACAATGCAGAGGCGTTTTTTTTTTTCTTCCTTCACGAGATTTCTTTTTTGGCGTTTATTTGCCTACGACTCCCTCTACTAATCAAATAAAGCTCGCCGGAGGGAAGAGGAAAACGGGGTACACAAAATGCTCTATTTACCCCCTCATGTGGCCCCCCTTCTCTTTCCAAAAAAGGTGCATTTGTCCTGCTTCATACACCCACTCTTCCCTCATCAATGCAAGCAGGGGGGAGGGGCAAACATTATAGTTTTACATGCACGTATGCGTAAACAGTACGACGAAACAAACTCCCTACATTGAACGTGAACGGTACCCAACCAGACCAGCTCCCTCAGCGAGGGGGGGGGAGTTAAAAAAAAAAGATCAAGCATCACCAAGCAAGCTGCCCGAGCGCACCCCCTGAAAATGACGAGAAGAAAACGCTATTTCTTTTCTTCTCTGGTTATTGTCGTGCGTCTTGTCTCATCTGCTAAGCTTCTCGTCTTCAATCTCCCTCCGCAGCTGCTCAAGCACGTGCTGCCGCGACGAGAGGTGCGTCTCGAGGCCCTCGACCTGCTCCCTGACCGTCTGCAGGTCATCCGACACGCTCTGGAGACTAGCGCCACCCTTGGCCTTGCTGGCCCCGTCCTCGAGATCGCGCAGCTGCTTGCGCTTGTAGTCGAGAAGCTGCTCGAGCTCGCGCTTGACGAGGGCGGGCTTGCTGTCCCGCTTGCCGCCCTTTTTGCGCTCGACATCGGCCTCGACACGTGCCATCTTCTCGTCCAGCTCCTGCAGCTGCTTCTTGAGGCGGACCTCCTCCCAGTCATCCGTCTTGGCAGTCGAGAAGTCGGTGCCGCTCGACTTGAAGCCGCTGCGACCGAGGCGGGTGAGATACTGGTCGCCGAACTTGGCCTTGCGGCCTGTCGCCGTCGAGTCGTCGGCCTTTGTCGCCCAGCGGGACGCGCCGGGCGTCTGGTTATCAAGCTGGTAGTCGATCTTGTTGCGCTCAAAGGAAGCGCGGAGGGAGGCGGGGACGGTACGCGGGATCCGGAACCCTTCGTGGCGGTTGTTGAGTATGTGGAGGAAGGCGAGGCAGGCATCTTTGTTGATGGAGGGACTAGCCGAGGGATTGATGAGGTTCCACGCCGAGCGGATGTCTGTGTCGGGGACGTCGAGTGATTCATAGAGGTCCTCTAGGGCGGTGACTAGATCAATCACGCATTAGCAAGTGGTTCGAGAGGTTTGCAGCTCTTCAGTGTGTATATGGAACGTACATGCTACTTCTCCCCGTGCATCCCGGTTCTCTTGGTATATCGACTCGTACTTGGCCTTGTCTTGGGGGCTCATGTACCAGTCGAAGCCGTCCTTCAACCCAGGCGAATCCGGGTCGTCCTCGACCTGCTCAAACGCCACTTGCCTCCCCGTAAGCGCGCGATTCGCCTGAACAAGGTGTGCTTTGGACTCGGGCACCAGCCAGTCGGGGAGTGTCGTCGGTACGTCTGAGTATTCCTAGCAATCCAACCTTGTTAGCACTTCTGCAACGCCTCCCCCCCTCCCCCTCCATATTCTGTCAACAAAGCAAGCCAATACGCACGCCGTTCAAGATATCAAAGATGACTCTCATCGCAACGCAAAACTCCTCAAAGTCGAGGTTGCCGTCATTGTCGACGTCGGCGAGGTCCCAAACCCGCTCGAGCTGGTTGTCCGTCAGGCCGCTGTTCTTAAGCACCGGCGCGGCCTGCTCGCCCGTCAGGAATTGGCCTCCGCCTGTACGGGCGGAGAAAATGTTCCAGTATGTCTCGATCTCTTGCGCTTCAATACGAGGAGCCATGTTGTGGGTAACGCTTGTGGAGGAAACGTCGGCGGGACAGGAGGAGAGGTTGGTGATTGGGGGGTGGGGTTGGTCGGTTTATAGTCAACTCGTGAGGTCCGACTTGTACGTTTGGGCGCAAAAGGTGTACGGACTGGGTGGTGCAAGGTAGTCACGAAAAACTCTGGCGGGCGATTCGAGAATTGTTGAGTGTCAAACGGAGATGGGCGTGTTAGGCCGGGGAGGTGTCGATGTTGCTGAGTGGAACGTCGTCAGGCCGCGCGGGAGCTCGGCCAAGGATGTGGAATTGGGGTAATCGGCTGGTTGGATGGTGGGAGGCGGTGCTTCTGTAACCAGGTAGGTACCTTACTTGTAGTAGAATTGGGGCGTGCGCTCGGTGAAGAGGCTCGGTGATGCAAACCTGACCCACAACGCAGGGATCCATGCAACCTTAGCTTAGCGCATCTTATGTAACACACATAGTCCCCTTCCGAGCCCAACGACATGACAACTCCTGTCTCCTGGATAGGTAGGTCAAAACGGGTCACAACCGCTACGTTCCTTGACATGTCTTTTGTTGTACATGACTTTCTATCGAGGCGGAAAATGGGTCTTGATCCCTGTATATTTTCAACCAAGAATGCTCTATCTCATCCTTAGCTGATCGTCAGTGGATGGAAGGAGAGTCGGTGCCTGACAATTGTCTCATGTTACCAGGAAAGCCATGACCGAAGCATACAGAAGCCGACTTGTGTGAAAACCCTGGATCAGATTTCTATACTACAAGCTATCGCAAAGTTGGTATCTCAAACACAATTAAGTGACATTTTCCAGAGAGTCAAGCCAAAGTCCCTTTTCAATGAAATCCATAACCAGACCAGCGAATGACTGCGAGCAAAAAGGCTGTGGAGCAAACAAAGAGCTGCAAGGGCCTAGTTCAGCGCGCAGACGCAATCATCGCATGCTCCTGTTTCAATCTGTTTGCCCTGCTTTCTCCCCAATAGCAACGTATTCTTATGAGTCGCTCTTCGCTTATCTTCTTGTCCTGAGCGTCAGGATGGACAGCAAGCAGTTTCCGGTTTGGCTAGTTTTCTTTTGATATGTTGAGCGATGATATTGAGGCCAGGTGGATTTCGACATTTGTTGGAGTGCGCAGGAGTGCGCAGCAGTAAAGCGGTAGTCGGCTCAACCCTGCAGTCTCTCCTGAATGCCAGAAGCACATTGGGTGGCTGCCTGAGGAGACTGTCGAATATCGGAGCGCACCTGGCCGGCAACTGGAGAGAAAGCTACTTCAGCGCCGAGTGTCTTCTCCGGGCTACTTGGGACAAACGAAGGCGCGGCAACGTCGGGCGTGGAGTAACTGAGGCCATGTTCTCGGCGAGCCGTCTTGACAAGATTCTGATGAGTCTCCCAGAATTCCTCACAACCATTGGGGCGAAGGTGCATCACGACATCTCTGCTGACACTGGTCCGAGTCTGCGAGAGATTCGGCTCGGGGTGGGTTGCATGAGGTGCGTTGTAGGGTCGAAAGACATGAGAGCAATACTGCGGGGATGAAGGCGCCAGAGTACTAGCCGATGTCGATGCCGCGGTTGGAATGGTTGCCGCAGTCAACCCCTCAGCAAAAGCCTGGTAGCCAGCTTCTTTACCAGTGCTTGAATCGGGAGCGGAAGCTGGGTGGCCACCATTTGAGGTGCGCGAAACATTTGTAGCTAACACCTGGGCATTGGAATTGTCTGCAAAAACCTGGAGCGTGGATAGCTGATTCTGGGTCGGTTGAGTAACAAGGTCCTGCGGTCTAGGATGCTTTCGCGGACGGCCTCGACCACGCTTGACAGGCTGAAGTGTATTTGCAGTGCCCGTCTGCAACTGAGTGACAGGCTTTGGGTGAGGGCCTGGCTGTGGTAGGCTTGGCTGGAGTAAGTTGGTATTCTCCTTCTTCCGTAGAGTAGACTTCTTGGAATTCGGTTTGCGAGGCCGCTTGGGTCGAGGTCGGTATTCTTCGTCGCTGTCGGATCTTTGGTAATTATTGATCTGAGCCGGAGAGGTGACGGCCTTTTTTTTCTGCTTTGTGCTATTAGGCACGGAGATATTTTTGGTCTTGCTCTTTGAAACGACAGGGAGCGATGCTATCGTCTGCGCTGTTGTTTTTTGACTCAGGTAATTCGGTGTGGTGTAACTGCTCGCTTGGAGATGCGGATCTTGGAATGTGTTGCCAGAAGACGGGAAGTTGGGTTCAGGGCTACCAGAACCGCCCAGGACTGAAGACGTGTTGAGCGGGCGCGATTGAGAAAAGTCTCCTTGGTTGATATCGCTCGGATTGAGTGCAACTGTTGGAAGCACAACATTATTTGTACCAGTGTAGGTCGGCATGTAGTTGTGACTTTTCATGCCCACAGGCACTCCCTCGGGGAGCGAGCACGTATCACTGCCCAGGTTTGGTCCCGGAAGACAGCCTGGCAGATGAAGAGACCGAACAGGAAGCAACAATCGGCCAACTGAAATCTCACAGCTCATAGCGCGGTCAGATTCAGCTTGTGGCGAGGCCTTGCTGATTTGAATGGCTGGTACCTTCGGCCCCGGCAACGCCTTCAACCCATCAAAGAGAGATTGGGGCTCTTGCATTGAGTTCTGTTCCTGCACTAGAATGTTCTCATTTTTCTCTTGTACTGCAAAATCAGGATATCCACTCAAGTCGACGGATGGAACCCGATGTTGTGAGAGCAACTCGGGGTCGTACAACTCATCCATTTTGCGGTAATTGATGGTGGTAGTCAGCGAGTTCTTTTCCTTGTCAGTGTGTATTCTCGTCTGAAATGTGACCATGTATCAAACAGCCTCCAACACGAATAACATTGGGTCTCAGAGGCTGGAGAGATGAAAATGAATGAAAGTCACTTACCTGGCTGCTTACAGCGGCAGACAACTGGTCCTGGAAAGTCAGGGGAGGAAGGTAGGCTTCAAGTTCCCCCAGACACTTCGCTAGGTCATGGCACTCCGACTGAACTCCTCCGAGCCATAGCAATGATTTTCTGGCCTTCTTGGTTTGCGGCAGTTTGATCTTTTTGACCTCCAGGTTCCCCATCCCTTTGTCTAGGATCACGGAGCATGCAGCCATGATCTCGGGCTCAATAGGAAGTGTGTGAAAGTTGGTCGAATGACCACGCCACTTGTTGACCTCTTCAACGAGCCCTTGCTGGCCTACTTGGCGCAGGTAATTGATCGCCTGCTCTCGCTCATGGTTCTGAAAAATATCAGTCGGAAGGTGAGGCCGCTTGAGGGCGTTCGTCTTGTCTGCACTCGCCCCGACTCCTTTAGCCATTTCGAGGAGAACTTCAACGGAAGTTCCGCTTATCTCATTGGCCCATTGCTTTGTATCTCGATGACAACGGATGTATAGACCAACAAAATCGATGATATCCACGATCTTCATCTTGAGAAGTTGCGTGGCAGGCACAAATGCTTTGTACTGGCAAAGAGCTAAGAGAAGGACCCATTGCCCACTAAGGGTGATCTGGCACCACTCAATGGGCTCCCCAATCTCTTCAGGCTCGGGGCTGCCCCAGTCCAAATCATTAGTCACATCCAAGAGAAACTCTTTGAAGGGTTCGCCTCGTTCAGGGCTTCTCTCAGCAATGTTGTGCGCAAGAGTTTGGTAGCCATTCTCATTGTTATCAGCTGCAGGCGCCTGACAGCCCTCCTCATCACCTGCTGTCATTAGCGGAGTCGGGTTAGATCAGTAAGAACTTACTTACTTTCATCGTAGCCTGAATCCGTGTTTTTCTCATCAACCTCACCCCTCTCTCTTGCCGCAACATATGCGTCAGCGCGGCCGGGCTGGTTGAGTGGGACACTTGGAAAGGAGCAATGCCTGGGAAGAGTATGATCGAAGAGGAGGGGTGGATGAACCCAGGACGGGATTTGTACGCCATATGCCTGTGACTCCTCATAGCGACCAGGCTTGTGCGACAAAGTCGACTGCCGAAGCTTTCGACCGTCACTTGCAGCCTCTCCCTCCATGAGAGTAATCGTGAGTGATGCTTTATGAAGGAGGAGGAGAATAAAGATGAGAGGATGGTAAAGAAAAGGCAGTGAGGTAAAGAGCTGGTGGAACGATGCTTGTTGAAGATACAGCAAGGTGCGTAAAGGATTCTGGCCAGATGAGGGATCGCAAACCGCCTGGCAAAAGCAAAGGAAGGCAGCGTTGGTGGTGAGAATGCAGGAGGAAGGAGGGATGAGTGAAGAAGTGAGAAAAAACAGAGCAGTTTATGAGTGTGAAATACTGTGTCTCAGAACCAAGTGAAATTACCTGTCTTCCCAGTTGCAAGTAGAAAAGAGAAAGAGAAAGAGAAAGAAAGGGAAGAAGCGGTGGGTCTGGTAGGCAAGCCGGGACAGTTGCTCTTTCCCTCTGAAAATATGTATGGGGGCTCAGTCAAGTTCTGAGAATGCCTACGTAAATACTTATTGGCCCCTTAATCCAACTGAAATCAAGACGAAAGCTTCGTAGGCGATGAAACTTGTTCAAATGGCCTCTGAAAGGAGAGTGTAGTTGTTCAATCTCATACCTCTCAACTTTGTCTCCCTCTTGGGCATGTTTTCCTTATAGGTGAGATACAGATTGTCAGTAGCCATATAGCCAGATCTTGCTTTCAGAAAATTGAGAGGTATGTTTTCTTCCTATTTTCAATGCCTCTGGCCATCTCATAAGATGAGATACCCTTTCCTTCTCTTTCCCTTTGGACATGGCGAGGCGCCCACACGATGGATAAACCTTCGCTGCCAAATAACGGAGCCAGAGAGAGCCCCCATGAGAGCCGGGTTTCAAGGTACCAACTACTTTTGATTGTTATCCTCTTTCATCGCGGCTTACAGTTGTTCTTCAGTGTTCAGCAAGCCCAGGTCAAAATTCAGTAACATGTGGATGAAGTCCGCAGAAGGCACCTTGAATAACCACGTTGCAAAGATTGCAGTAGGAAGTCCTCGCGATATTGAAGAAGGGGTACAATTCTTGCTCTAGTGGCAAGGCCTCAGAGTCTATAATTGATGACAAAAAAGTTGTTGCCAACTGAAAACGGGTATATCGACACCCCTGACGCCTATCCATGGTTCCAACCGAGTCCTCTTCCTATCCTCGGAACGCAATAGCGATATAACTCCTTGGCAGAAAAACGGTAGTCGTCATCCCGCCAATGCCAGAGTTTCCGTCTTTCATGTGTACTATTCCTTCTCCTCCTCCCTCGCACGCAGGCCTCACATCTCCTCATCGAAATCCACCTCACCTGACCGTCGACGTTGCTAGCTAGGGCGCCAAATCACGATCAACGAAAGGAGCAAATCTGCCCCGGTCCTGATAGCGTTCACGATCTGTGGTGAATGTCGCATAACCATCATCTGCTTGCATGTCATCCTCATCGAAAACTGATTCGATCCCTCGCTTGGCCCCACCGCTGGGAACGGCGAAATGACCAGCCCGGGGCACATCTCTTGTTGCGCTGCAAACGCTTTTCTGAGCATTGAGTATATCCTCGTATGCCTGCAGCATTCTTTTACCATCCTCGTCAAAGTTGGCAGAGAACCGCTGAATAGAGATGAACTGGACAGCCGAGACCATGTCCTTCCCGTACATGTTCATAATGTAGGCCGCGACGACGAAAGCTGACCGGTCGTTGCCTGTTTCACAGACAACCAACACCTTGCCACTCTTGAAGGTGTCGCTGTCGATGATCATTTGACCCTCCTGCATGGGCGTCGCCTGGCTGCGATACACATTGAGAAGGTGTCCATTGATCTTCGCCACAACCTCGGGGAAGCCGCGGATCAGCTGAGCGTTGTCCAAGACATCCAAGTACTCAACCAAAATGCCCAGCTTGTGAGCGACCTTGTCCACACTCATGAGTCTGGCTTGGGCGACGCTTGCATGACGCGTCACTATGACCATGGTGATACCCTCCTTTGCAAGCCAAGTCTCGTCGCGAGCGACAGACAAGGGACCGAGATAGAGAAAGTCCAAGATTGTCTGGGCTTTGCGGCGGGACTCGTAACTCCACCCCACCGATCTGTCGGTGGCTGTCTGGGTTTTGTTGCGAGTGATGATTCTGAGATCCTCGCTTGTCAAACGCATGGCGTTGACGTTGTCAAATGAGGGAACGATGGTGGCTGCTGCAGGTCCCTTGGGGTAAGTCATAGGAATCGGAATATAAGGCGGACTCGGGGGCCTGGTGCTGTATGGGGCAGCGGCAATGGCGTCCGAGAGGCGTTCATTCGAGGTTTCCATGTTGCCTTCTGCTTATGAGGGATTTGAAGTAGAATTAGTTGATGGTGATGGTAACGGCATGTGTTTCGCTGCCCGCGTGCGCACTGACTCGGCACCAGTAGGGGCGGTTTCGTTCGTTCCCTGCCTCTCACTTTCCAGGCGTAGCCGGTAATGCGGAAGACGTGCGCAGTGGCCCAGAGAAGATGCGTTTCCAGATCTGTGACAGCTTGACTTGAGCCGGATTCCGACGTTGGGCGAGGCGATGTTAAGTCTGGGTGATGTTGATGTTAAGTTGAGATGTGGAGTTGGGAAGGCACAGAATCGGGGTCGCACGAGGAATCTAGGTTTAATCGGTAAACTGAGCCGTGTCTAGGCCCCAGCGTCTAAACCGCCCCACTCGGCGGCCGGCGGCGGCCTACCCACCTAGGTAGGAGGTACCTTACCTACTTGGGTGTACGGTAAACCCGTCAGACAGCTCTAGAGTCAACCGTGTGTCCGTCCGATTCAAACGTCGCTTCTTCCCAATATTAGGTACCAAACTCTGGATGATGCCGAGCCAATTGGGAGCTGACGCCGTGGTACATGACCGCTATTTTTCTTTTGTCAGTCTCAACCTTGCAACATGAATAGGTATGTCTTGCGACGAGAAGAGGTAAAAAGGTCAGGTTCGCACGTTCAAGGTGCAATACATGGATGACAGTAGCAGGCTTTTGAGAAGCGGCTGATTCTTCGGTCAGGTTTCCTGCAGGCTGCACCTGCTTTCAGGTCGTTTAGCGGAGCTGCAGCATCCATGTTGGTCGCACGGCATACCTCAACCGGCTACTGCGGATGACTGTTCAAAGGGATTCGGGTCTTGCCTTGCATATGAAAACACTAAACGAACCCACGTGTACCTATCTATAAATGAGGCTGTCCCCACCTACCCCTGTTTGTGGTAGCGTCACAGGTATGTATGTACATGTTGACCAATGCTGACGGTCTGCCCGGTTAATTGAGTTGGATGGTCAAGTATCATCTCAGGGCGCAGCGGAGCACCGGTACTAAGTGCGACGGACCAGCCAGTTCTTTCCCCTTCCCTCGTCTTGCCATCAAATCACTTGCTGTGCCAACCGTTAGACAAACCATCGGATTCGGCTCAATTAAGGCCACACATTACTAGGATATCGAACCTTAGTTGTAAGATTCTGGTGAAAGAGAACAACATACTTCAGGAGTCATATCATTCAAGCATTGTCTATTTAAAATAAAATAAAAACACGTAGGACATCATAACAAAGGCAGTGTGCAACCGTCTAATAAAGCACCTTACAGCTCTTCGGAAACAGACTCGCCCTTCTTCTCCAGGGCCGTAAAGTCGGTGAAACCTAGCTCGTAAACTAGTCCAAGGGTCATCTTGGCGTGCTCGAGCATGTGGTCAAACGACAGGTACTTGATGGTGTCATCGACGCCGTGGATATGGTTGTCCGAGTACTCGAAAGCCGACTCGATGACGAACGCCGAGGGATAGCCGGCCTTGCTGGCGGAGGCATGGTCAGAGCAGGCATATCCGCACTTGGTCTCAACATAAGGGACCTTGCAGTACTGTAGCTTTGGTTAGCATCATGGCACGCCAGTCATGATGAGCAACTAGATCGACTTGCCTCAACAATAACCTTCTTGATGAAGCCGGTCAAGCCAGGGTCAACAAAGTCAGTAATGACACCGACGCTCTCGGGCTGTCCGGCATCCAGAGTTCTTTGCACGAAACCAGTCATGTCCTGCTGGAGCATGGCCTTGATATCACGGCCTTCCTTCTCGTACGACGAGAAAATGGCCTGGCTACCAAGCAGGCCGCCCTCCTCAGCACTGTACCAGTGGAACTCGATTGTGTTGTCGGCCTCGCCAGAAACGATGTCCTTGGACTTGAGCAGAGTGCGGAAGGCTTCGAGGATAGTCATGGAGCCGCTGCCATCATCGTCGGCACCGGGAGCCGCAAGAATCGAGGGCAGCCACAGGTTGATGGAGTCTTGGTGGGCGCCGATGATGACGGTGCTGTTGGACTTGCCGGGTATGGTGACAATGATGGAGCTTTGCTGCCAGGTATGGGGGAAGTGCTGGGCGTAGACGTTCTTATCGGCGCCAGCATCTTTGATGATGGAGTTAATCTTGGCAAGAAGCCACTCGGACGACTGGCGACCATAGTCGGACTTGTAATAACGGGTATGGAAGCTGGTGAACTTCTCGAGGTTCTTCTGGATTTCAGACTTGTCAAGGTCCTTGAGCAGAGGCTTGACCTTGTCCTGGCGAGAGCACTTCTCGGGGAAGACGCTCTTCGTCTTTGTGTGGAGGCGAGTGGCACCGAGGTCCTTGTGATCAGTGATGTCGAAGAAGCGGTTACCGTTCTGGAAGAAACAATGTCAGCGTGGCAAACAAGCAGCGGAAACAAGGGAACCCTACTCGGCGGAGCTCCCACTTCTCCTCCTCAGTGACCCAGCGAGTGTCTCCTGGGGCGAGCTCAATCAAGTACTTCTCGGGCTCGGAGCCGGCAGGATACAACTGGACGCGGTTGATCTCATCTTCGGCAAGAAAGCGGGCGCTGACCGAGTGCGCAAGTATGGTAAGAAGCGAAGCTTTGGCAACCTTCATCTTGGAAATGGGGATGCTGGAGAATGAGTCTGGAGATGATGCGGGAGGTAAGTGGGCGGATGTGGATGTTGTTGAAGGGAAGAGGGAAGTAGGTTGTCGTCACCTCGGCTGCACTGATAGGTGCCTAGATAGCGACTCCGCGGGTCTGCGACAGCTTGGGGAGCTCCCCTGTCTCGAATCGCACATCATCCCCGCGCGTTGCCTGGTACACGGTATTACAGGCCAAATGCTGTTGGGTGGGTACCTGACCTTGGGTACGTACCACGGATATCCGCTTGGGTCATCCGAACCTCACGTCATCGGACTCTCCCTTTTCCAGAAGGTGTGTAAATGCTTTGGGTAGTTGTTAGAGTCAACCAGCGGATAGGTAGTCAACAAGCGTCAGGACAAACATCGGCCACGCTTAGGTACTAGTGGGTCGACCCACGGCACCCTAAATGTGAAAGGCGGACCGATGGCGAGCCCACCAAACGCTAATTACAAAGAAGCTTGATCAGGACATGGGCATTGCGAGACAGCTACCGCGTGCGACACCGGGCAGGCGACATCTTCAGCTGCAATGGTACATACCTTGCCTAAGATTGAATGATACTTTCATCGAGACCCCCTGAGGAACGCAAAAAGACATGCAACACCAGGCATTCGCCGGTCGTCTCCGACCCGACTACTACTCTGGCCCTCACTGGTTTATCTATGAGAGAGCGGACGGGATCTCGAGTTCTCCAGTGGGTGTGGTCGCATGTGGCAAGTGGGCAACTTGAATGCGTTTATGTATGCTGTCACAACCCTACGGCATGGCGTGCTGTTCAACCGCGTGCTTCGCCGCATCTAAATTGAATTGTCAACGGCAGTCTTGCCTTGGAATAATGTCGGTCCACAGAGGCCATATGGCAGGATGAGAGGGTGCTGCACAGCGTGACAACCTCGTTCAATGCAAGCATCCACGATACCAGGCTGACACCAGCTCCCCAACGATGGATGGGTTGAGACGCTATAAGCAGGTTACCTCAGCGCTATCATGTTTTGACGTCTTGCATGTACCAGTTTTACACAGCAGACCAATTTAACCTGAGCAATATTCTCAAGTAAGATCCAACCCCCAAGATATAAGACCTAATATTACTTAGATGATTGTAACACCATGAAGATTCTGGGCCGACCCTCGATTGAAAAATGTGATGATCCTTCTGTTCAGGTAAGACCTGTGCAAATATGGTGTGACGAGACAACAGCTATCGTGAGGGTGGGCGTACCCAGGGCCTTGCATCATCTCAGCGCAATCTCATGTTCCCAGCCCCTCCGGTTCAATATACTGGAACACCCAATCAGTCAGTATGCTCTGTCTTGTGATTGAACACATATTGCTCGTCGAAGTTCCCTTCAAGAAGAAATGCCGGGTCTAATATGAGATAAGACGCGACGATACAAGCCATGCGGTCAATCCGAACTCTATCAACCTAGTTCATCCCATCACGGTCTTCTAGAGCAGCTCGGGTAAGATTCAAAGGCGTATTTTTGGTAATCAGCGAACAGCTGCGTGATAAAAGAGACTATCAAGTCTCAATGCACGTATAGACACAATTCAAAATAATTATTATTCAGGGCACTGTAATCTCGGTCCGCACCGGAGATCTTGGCCCTTGCAGCCTTTCAACGTCCTTTGCACTCTGTGCAAAACATGCCGCTCTCCAACGACAGAACAGCCATTTCGAATATGAGCCATAAGTCGTTCACTACAAGCCTGGGATCAGGCCAGAGTCCATGCGTTATACTGGGGGCCACTGTAGCCGCGCGGCCTTGATTGTGAGTTTGTCTTCAAGCTCTAGAGGTCGGTATACCTTTTGGCTTGTAATTACGGTTCAATCCCCCTCTAGCATTTTGCTATTCAAGTCGTTGTTTTGGACGCCATGGCTGCAAACGTGTCCCTCTGGTGGCACAACCCCTCCCCCCCAAGAACTATGCAGGGTGGAGAGTCGTAGGTCGTGGCTATATGTTTTGCAACACAACGGCCTACTTTGGTCGTCCAGGTCTTACATATTGATCACTACATGTTCCCTTGGACTAGGCGCTTTGAGCTCCATCATCATGTCATGACAGATCACGTTCGAGAAGATGCGCCGAAAGAGACAATCGACAGCCAGCTTGGGAAAAGGAAAAAAGCCCGGACGGAGAGAACGCGATAGAAGAGGACCCAAGCCGCCCAGCTGCTATAGCGGGTGCACATTAGTGCGATTCCCAACGCGGCATCGCGACTTCGCCCTTTGAACTCTATCCGAGCCACAAATCAATCGCGGGGCCTGCTACTCGATTTTGTCTTTGTTCCTCAAGGTAAAGCAAAGTAGGTAGGTCGACGAAGTAGGTAGGTTGTGTTAGGGCGGACGGATCCGGGTGCTCGGATGACAATGATATCACCCAACAGCGCCGCATGTTCCCCATTGGCATCCCCGCGCTCGGACGGCGTCCAGAGCAATCTACGTCCGACGGGCTAGTAATGTGAGTAGCTGCCCTGCATGACGTGAGCTGAGTTCTCTCGATCCTACTTCTACACTACAACACGCCTCGCAATATATTCAGCGGCCTCTGCTTTGACTTTATACCAACCTTCGCAAGAAGTTACTTGCAAGCAAATCAAAAACACCGACGGGGTCTATCAACCTCGAGCGAGTGTATCGACAGCAAGATGGCGGACTCTAGCCCCCCGAGAAAGAATTTCGACCTGATCAAGCGCGGCGTCAAGAAACCCAACGTGCCGGGCACCCTGACCTTCATCGGTCTCCGCGGCCTCGACCCGTTTCTACAATACCAGCTCATCGCCGGCGGCCTGGGCGCCTCCATCCTCGGCCGGATCGGCGTGCGCTCCATCCCCTTGGACGTTGCCGCGCTCTCCACGACGGCCATCTCCATCCTCGACAACCTCCGCCTTCCGCTTCCGCACCTCATCCTCCTCGGCATGTCCGTCGGCTCCTTCGCCAAGCATGCCTACTGGCTCGTCTTCCTCTCGGCCGAGGAGTTTCCCGTCTCCAACGCCATCCCCGTGAGCCTGTACAACACCCTCGTCAACAGCGCCAACTCGCTCCTCATCCTCGCCGCCTCCACCTCCGTCCTCAACTCGCCCCGTTACTTCCCAGGCACTGCCCTGCCCTACCAGGTCGTCCTCGGCAGCGCCCTCTACGCCGTTGGCATGTTCCTCGAAACCGCCTCCGAATGGCAGCGCAAGCAGTTCAAGGACAAGCCCGAAAACAAGGGCAAGGTCATCAAGAGCGGCCTCTGGAGCTGGGCGCGCCACATCAACTACGGCGGCTACGCCATGTGGAGGGCTGGGTACTGCATGGCCGCGTCGGGGTTCATCGGCGGCACTATCATGGGCGTGTGGCAGGCGGTCGATTTCCTCACGCGCGGTGTGCCGGCGTTGAATGAATACTGCTCGAAGCGATACGGAGAGCAGTGGGCGCAATTCAAGAAGGAGGTGCCGTGGGTGTTGATCCCGGGCATCTATTGATGGATTGGCTGGGGTTCGATCTATTACTGTATCTTATCATCAAAAGTGATCAATTGCCATTCGGGGTCGGCCGCAAGAAAAACGGAACCAGATTCCCATGGTGTTCAACCATAGTGGCACGTCTTCGGCGGCTCATGCTGCTAATATGAGATAAAGTCTTTTCTGCCGAAGTTGTCTCAGCCGGGGTATGTGAGTATCCTGTAAGTGTGGACTTGCCGTCGTCCACAAACATGAGTGAAAGCCGCATGAAGAAAGTCGTGTCAATGCCCAACGCGCAAACCAGCGGGTGTATGCTCTCCTTCCTCACCAGACGACGCTCGCTCACATGCTGTCCTCCATCTGTCGACTCCGGACCTTAGCCCAGTCGTCGCGCTCCTTCTTTCCGCCTTGCTGCTCCAAGCCCATGCCGCGCTCAACCCACTCCTTGCTGCCCATGTGGCTCAGACGCGAAAGCGCACGCGCAAACGCGAAAGCCTCCTCATCGCCCGAGAATAAGCCCTGGAGGCCCTTGATCGAATCAATGTTGTGATCAATGTCCTCCAGGAGATGTGTCGCGCCGCTATCGCTTTGGCCAAAGTCCTTCTTATCCTGCTTCCCCAGTGATTCCTCCAGCTCGGCGCGCGAGACGAAGAGTTCCGTCAGGGGCTTCTCAGTCGTCAGGACAAGCTTCGCGTGCGACTCGTAAACGGCGTCGATGAAGGTGATGAAGCGACGTGCCAGGTCCCGCTGGTGGTACGTCATTCCAGGTACGTCGGTAATGACGAAGGCGTCGTAGTTGCGCACGAGTTCGAGGTAGTCCGCCGCCGACGTCGCCTTGCCGATGAGCTCGTCAAATGTGAACCACGCACAGCGCCCGCTAACACGCGGGACGTGAATCTCGCGACCCCAGACGTTCTGCACCTCCGAGTGCGGCGACGGGTTCTCGGGGTCGCCAAGGAAGTGGAACCACTTCTCAGCGTGGGAGCTGGCGTGGGCATCAAGCGGTGTATGGTACACGCCCGAAGGGGGTCTCGGGATCTTGCGGTAGTCTGTCGGCGAGTCCAGATTAATAACGTGGAGCCTGCTCTTGAGCAACTTGATCGCCGGAACGAAGGATTCTCGCTGGATTCCGTTCTTGTAGAGTTCGTCGGGGTGTCGGTTCGAGGTCGTGACCAGTACGACGCCATGTGACATGAGCGATTCAAGTAGCCTGTCAAGGTATCAGTCAGTAGCCGTCGCTCAAGCTCCTAGACCGTGCCCCACACCACCATTTACCTTCTCAAAATCATGGCGTCCGCCACGTCTGTACACTGGAACTCGTCGAAGCAGAGAACGTTGCCCTTGGCTGCAATATCAGCCGCGACGAACGGCACAGCGTCGATATCGACGCCGTGCTGCATCTTCATCTTGTGGAGCCGCTTGTGGACGTCCTGCATGAAGTTGTGGAAGTGTATTCTCGTCTTAGTCTTGACGGAGCTCGGCAGTGTGTCGTAAAAGAGGTCCATAAGCATTGTCTTGCCGCTGCCGACGTCGCCATAGAGATAGAGACCGCGGGGGAGGTTGCTCGGAATCGCGCCTATCGTGACCCGGGCCGCCTTGCCTCCGCCGAACCAAGATCCAAACATCGACTTCGCCGGTTTCAGGGACTCGAGAGTCGGGTGGACAACTTCAGGCGCGTCGTAATTGACCAGCTCATCATGTAGGTGCTGGAGGCTTTGGATAATGCCTACCGAGCGTCAGCATGTGATCCTCTGTTCTTTGCGATCGGGATTGCCTCGTACCTCGTTGGTGCTCGTCATTGCGCAAAACGCCGGTGTCGACACGGCGATCGTATTCTTGGAGCGGGCCATGATGGTCCTTTGCGACTGCCTCACTTCAGACTCTATGCTGCTGTCGTCGGTGGTATATTCCTGGACCTACCACTATTTCCTTCTGTCGCAGCTGAAACCGTCGACGCTGCCCTCCTCTGCGCCCTATTGCTGGAGAACTCTCTGGGAACACTCGCAAAGTGGCGGATCGTGATGGTGTCTGTTCGGTTTACCAGACACGATGTACAGAGTGAGTGGCGGAGGGCATTGTGCCTCGGGAGACTTCGGGCGGTCGCAGCAGCAACTGACAGCACACCAAGTCGGCTGAGAGGGTGCAAAGATCCAGCTCTGCGCATTGTAGCTGGAGGGAGATGCTAGCAAAAAAAAAAGTCTAGGGGTATTGAAATGAAAGAAAACATGTTACGCAAGTATGCGCGCTATATTGGTGGTGTGCAGTGTTGGATTAACGAAATCGCTCTGAGAGCGGTGTGCGGATAGAAAGAAAGCGACAAAAACAGTCCGGTTGCCGGGAAAGTGCAAGGTACCATGGAAAATGACGCTATTGCCTTCCAAACTGCCGCCGGCTCTCAGAACTGGTGCCGAATTGAGCCAGTGGAGGACTGGAAAGTTGGCGGCTGCAGAAGGGTGGGGAAGCCGAAAGAAGCCGAACTCCGGACCATGCCGACTTCGGTCAGCTCGGTCGGTGTGTGGCGGGGCTCCCAAGCCGAAATGTGGCGATGACTCCAAGACTGAACGCCATGATTCTCCGTCTGAATAGGGTCTTCACTCCAACGGTCATAGTGTCATAGTGAAGAGTTCTTCTACCAGGCTTGTTGAAAAGGCTTTTCATGGCAACCTCTATTCGAGACCGGTGACTGCTAAGTCCATCTAAACTAGAGTGCACAGCCGTAAACGAAGGCACAACGGTGGTGGCAGACAGATCCCAAGAAGGAATTCTGAAAACCTACCAGCGTCAAGAAGTAGTCGCTCAATGTAGTAGAATGAGGTCTACGTTCTCTTGTAATCAAAAGCCCGGAACCGCCTTTTCTGAACAGGGGGGGGCGTAACTTACTAGACGAGATTCAGGCTTCCAGCAACAATCGTCATGGTTTCTTTTTCCTTTCTTCTTCTTTTTCTTCTTTTCCACCGCACCTACCCCCCTACATAGAGAAAACCTGAGCGCATTCCGAATCTTAGTATTACTTACGTTGACGTTGTTTGTGGTGCTCAGAAATGCGGTCAGACAGTAAGTACCCTGGTGGCAATGGCGGCATCGTCATTGTTCCGTATGGTCAGAACTTCATGTCTTCCATCATGCCTGATTCAAGTAGGTCTGCGCCAGAGTAGGCCGTAAAAATTTCAGTAAATTCATATTATAGTTCAAGGCTTCTTAGGTGTTAGCGCAGAATCACGAACTTATCCAAGGGTGGAGTAACGGGGCGTCAGAAAGCGCGGGAGGGGGCAAGCAATAATCAACATCGCAACGCTTACCGTTTTAGACTCTTAGAGTCTCTTTAATGAAATCCTTTGGCCACCTTGAAATACCCATTATGTTTTCAATACAATACATTAGCCAAAGTTTTTGTTAGTCGTAAGTTCGCCACTAAAGCTGGCGCGTCGCAATGCAAAGATAACTCAGCAGGTACCGTGTTAACTAAGCCTGTTCGTGGCATTCTCTAGCCTATGGGGGTCGTTGGAGGTCGGCGTCTTGAGACATGGATTGTTGCTGTCCGGGGAGGGAAGCCGCCGCTGGCGCCAGAGACGAGTGTCGCCCCCTTTTTTGGCGCTATCATCTACGGACTCAAGACTAATGTGACTCATAGTCGAGCGGATTTTCAAGTACTGCCTCTAAGATCCTCCCTGCCGACCAGATCTAGCCAATACGGTTGCTAGATCAATGACTGGGCATTAGGGAAGAGGTGAGCAAAGTTGTTCTTCGCAAACTGCATTGCAAATAGATGAAGTAGAAAATCTTTACTTCTGAATGGCCTAGTGACCGATTGAAGCCTGGCTTCGGCTTGAATTCCAGTCATGTCATGCCCTGGCAGTCTGTTTTAAAACAACGCCATTCACTTGACCTCATGATCAGTTCTCACACGGCGTCATAATCCTTCGTTTTATGCCCCTGACCGACCAAGATCGGCAGAGATGCCACACACATCCTATGCAACCGGCCGCCCAGGCATAGCGCCCGCAGTTGTCCTCGCAGGAATTGTTGCGAGTGGCGGTCTAGTAGACTCAGAAAATGTGGGGGAAGCGGTTGAGCCCGGAAAAGCAGGTAATATCGGTAGTAACCAGCCCAGATTGGTCGGCTGATGAGGCCGCGAAGGGAAGAGGAGGGGGGGTCAGTTCGCTCATACTCGTGCGGGACCGAACAACTCAGACTGCGGCCAGGAGCAGCGCTCTACTGGGTTTATGCAAGCTGGAATGGCTATCAACTCTGCCGTCTCTCAGAAGTATCGGTCGATGATATATCATGGTCCGACAGCGTGACCGCCGAACCTTCGAACGACCAGAATACGACAGGTATTATGTTTGATGCTCCTTTTTCTGGCCACAGAAGTGTAAGGACTCAGCATGACCCACGACGCGAAGGTTTTGGGTTGACTGAGACCGTAGCCCTATCTGACAACGAATGGCTTCTTGAGGAAGAACATGTGTCAATAGGCCACCGCTCTATCGCACGCTCCGGACCACAGACACGTCACATTTAGCGGCAAACCTAATTCGGGGCGTCGATTCGTTGCCGGCCAAGTTGAATTCTCTGATTTGAATCTCTTCCGCCTTGCCATCATTGGTGATGCATGAGACTTTGAGGGCCCAAGGAACGGAGGCGCCCCAAGCCTACCACACCCGCGCCGATGTGGATACTATGCCCTTGGCAGCTTACATCCGACCATAGAGCAAGCCTATTGTGTTTCTTTTTCTGTCATATGGTTCTTGTTCTTGCCCTTAGTAACACCCGACTGCAAGACCGTCGAATACTGCCGAGGCGTTCGATGTACAACTGTTGTTACCAGCATAGACGCGGCGTTGGCCGCCATTCATTGGACAGATCATGAACATAGCAATTACACAACGAGCACCACCAAGAAACACATCAAGGATGTGGCTTGTTACCTCTGTTCTTCAAAACGATGGTTATCACCATGTTACAAGCCATAAAGGGTCGCCAGCAACCAAGAAAAAAATAGTCTTCCGGCCCCTGTCTTTCCTCCAATCCTTCCTTACCTCAGGTATATAAACACCGTCAGATTACAATACAATGGCTGCAGTTCCAGGACATCCAACGCGCCATCGGCGAAATCTCTCAACAAAATAGACATGGGTTGAGCGAGAAGGAAGGCGGTTGGTGGTTACGCAAGGCATTTTTTTCCGTTGCTGGCGGCCGGTTGAGGCCGACCGACCCCAAAGCTTCTGAAATGGACAGATATTTCTTTCCCAACCCCAAGATAACGCTCCTGATCGACCAACCCGAGAATCTGGTTTGCCAGATCTGCCAACAGAACAATCTGATATCCCAGGACCATGGCGAGGTCAGTTGGGAAACGGTACCGGAAAGCGTGCCTGTAATGATGCCTCGTTGACATGTGGCAGGGCCTCGACGCCTGAAGACGCGATTTCGGGACCACGCGAGCTGCCCTTTTTGTCGCCAAGGACTATTGCACAGCAGATGTGAACATGACCTGCGCCTTCGCCGCATCACCGTGGGCGAAATATCTCTCATATCAACCACGATAGCGGAAGGAAGCACCTTACTACACCTGTGTTCTCGGTGCTACACACTTGCTCTGGGAGCTGCGGCTGAGGTAGGATTCAAGACTTGCAAGTGAAGGTTTGTGCAGGCGGGGGAGTCGGTTTCTTACCTCGGAGAGCCAGGCGGATGTTGCAATCTTCTTGCGCAGGAAGAGGCTAATTTAGAAAACATGATTTTGAAAGAGTACCAAATTGACGAACTCGTGGCTGACCCACAGGAGAGTGATATGCAGAGGTGAGCTGACCGCTGGGGCTGGAATCGGTTGGTTACGGGCTTGTGGTACTGAGATCCTCCGACTGCCGGTCAAGTGGACAAGGACTATGTACATAGGTAGTAGGTGCACCATGCACGTAGGTACTATTGGGTGAGGTATGCCGAAGTGGTTTTCGGATGGGCGGCGTTACAGTCGCCAAAAAGCAAGGGTTACTGCCGAGTCGAATGTTCTCCAGATGGAGGGGACTTTTTTTGTCGTCTGATCACTTGCCCTTGCATTGTAGCATCGGATTAGAGGATGGCCCATCTGACTAGGGTGACAAGCTCGGGAGCGAGCCCTGGCAATGGAGACTGGGTCGATGGATTAATAATACGTGTGCGCTGGTGCACACTACACACTAGGTAGAATAGAGAAACTCCAATACAGTTTCCCAGTCATAGGAAGACGCTAACCGTCAGGTGTTACGGAGACGCTCATCTGGGTTGTTTAGTCAAGAGATTTCATGGTACTGGGTTTGTGTCTAGAAACCTTCCATTATGATGTTGAATATTTGACATGATGCTTATAGTGTGTTTATCCGACTGTACTAGAATGTTATTGTGTATCTTTGTGATCTCAAGAGGGAGGAGCGCCTTGGATGCATACCTCAATTATGGAGACGCTCGTGGATAACAAGCTAGACTGTTTGGGGGGGGGTTGGGGGGGGGGGGGGGGGGGGCGATTGTGGCAATCCGCGAGCCTCTGGTCGTCCATCGACCTTTTTAGCTATTCCAAGCAACTTTTGAAGATGCAAGGGTCGACATAGGGATTCCACGAACGTGATGGTGGCCGGGAATAATGCATAAGCTTCCCACGGGTCACATCCGCGAAGTCGGCAACCACACTAAGAGGCTGTTGGTGCTCGCGACGCGAGCATAGGTGGGGGACTGATATATAGGTACGTACAGTAGTAGTAAAGTTGGTCTCGGAACAAATTCCGGACGATAGACGAGAGAGGGAGGAGGAGGAGGAGGCAAATGAGCCGAGGACGGCGACGCTAGACAAATGTGGAAGGACCTTTGGCTATCAGTAGCATTGACCACATGGCACCAGCGGGCAGGGAGGCACCTCAAGGCGGAGGAGGCAAAAATAAACGGGCATTTTACCCGCCGTTTGGTCTAATTTAGCGCCAAAGACCCTGGGTTAAGGCCCCCAATCTCAATGTCCATTTATTTATAACACTTTTGTCTGTTATGTCCGGGAGACACATCCCATGCGACAGCACAATGCAACAATGCCATGTACTTGGCGACTGGGGGATTAAGACTCGGCCCGGCGGATTGCAACGGACCGCGACGTGGGCTCGTGGGGTCTCACAATGTCGAAACCGCATGCATCCCTTTTAAATTGCCCAACTTGTATGTACCCTCTATGCCACCTACGCTCTAGTGTATTCGTATTCTATATACCCTATACTATGCCTTCCACCTTTTCCTGCCGGTGAAGGATGTATTGGCTTCTCACCGAACCATTGCCGAAGCGTTGGTTGAGATGTTGTCTCCTTACCATTTAAACCGCTCATCTCGTCGCTGGCAAGTGTAGGTGATCCCGGATCCTTTCCACCCGGAGGAGACCAAGTGAGGATGAACGCTCGCTTAGTTGCCTAGCGTGGGTGATTCGGCCAACCAGAAAGTCACATCTGACCTCTCTCTCGGTGGTGATGGCAATATGACTGCATCCGTACACTACATCCAGTCAATCGGGGGATATCCGGCCTTTGTTGGATTACCAGCATTTAGCTATTCTGCTCCAAGATAGTCTATCCCCGCCCTATAGGCCGTACCGAGCATGCCCGCCGTATTCCGACCCAGTGGAATAGGCCTGCCCGTGGATGTATGCACAAGCATGTCTGAAGACCAAGCTTCGAGCAGGTGGCCTTCCCATTATGGCATTAGTATGGGCTATCCAAGCAGGCTCCAAGCCTTCCCACAGCTTGGATAAACGGTACTTCAAGTCTTGCTCGACCGAGCACGACCCTTCACGTTTACACTTATACTATCGTTGAAGATTCGCGAACGAGAGCGGCTGCCATTGTATCAAGGTTCAGGGACTCATGATCTTCTGGGCGTACTTGTGGCCTGTTACTAATGACGCGTCCGCCTAGCACTTTGGGCCCTCGTTGCCCCCTAACCAGTTGCCCGACATCACACCGATTATTCCCCATCACAATTCAGAAATCAAAGTCTTCTCTTCATGTATTGCCCCATGTCTATCTCACTGCGGCCGCTTCGGTTAGTCTATGGAGCAACAAGGATAGCATCTAGGATTGCTGCAGTGCCCCCCTATTGTATTGTACTGGGACACCGGTATCAATGCCAGGTACTACCGTTGCCCTGGTAGTGCTCCTCTCCGGAGACTCGACCCCACGTCTTGAGTGGTACTTTCCTAAGCCGTTCCTCGTGAATTTTACCGGAGTAATTAGGATTCCCAACCCCAATGATCTGCGTGGGTCGATGCCTTCCCAGGACCACATCGTTTCAGAGGCGATATGACTGGCAAGAATCATCCAACAGCCACATTACGGGGCCGCCAGCATTTCCGCCTTTTGACGATTCTCTGACTTGCCCTCAACTTCCAACTAAAACGACTCTAGCGCATTACAGTGTCACACAAGTGGCTTGGGGCTTGGATTCATGTGGCTCATGCCCCGCCCCTTTCAGAGATTTGGATGGCAAGAAAACCCAAGGAAGAGTTTTCAGATTACGATCATGTACGATTCTGTGCGAACCCGTCCCGTCTTATCGAGACGCAACCCCTTTCAAGCGGACATACATAGTACACTGCTGCTGGTGGCTGGGGGTGCAAGAAAAACCAAGAACCGGGTATGAGGCCATTCATTTCTGTCAGCTGCATGAGCTCGCCTCAACCTGCCTAGTTGTAAAATATTGGGTGTGTTTTCAGCTGCTTCCTTGAATACCGGTATACCCCTATCAGACAGAGCTCGCCATCCTTGTTCCCCTCCAACGGCCGGCGTCGGCCAGGCCAGGCCAGGCCATCCTCCACCCGCATTGCAAGCTACTTCTTCCCGCATACAACTCACTGATCCTTTGCGCTTTCTTTTACTCCAAGTAACATGCCTGACCTGGAGGTACAGCCGGCTCAGTAGCACTGCTAGTTGATGGGCTCATTCACTCACCCTCGTCGCCCTAGTGAAACAAGCGTCACCTACGGTTATTAATCACCGCCTCATCTTTACATGATTTGATGCCCAACGTTCCGATCAAGTTTGCTGTTACCTTGTGATGCATAAAGGAACCTCACGCTTATCACTGTTTCGCACACAAACACCACTCATCACCTTCAAAGACGCCATTTATACTCTCTACAGTGCGGCAACACGCCAGAAAGAAGCCAATGGAAGCGGTCAGTAGTGGCTTTAATCCCGGCAGAATGGGCACGGCCAACATTTTGTGTTTCCTGAGGAACGACTTACCAATATCTTGACCGTAGGAAAAGGAGAGGAGCCGCATCCGGGACAACCAGCGTAGATCCAGGGCTCGAAAGAAGGAGTACGTCCTCGAGATCGAGCAAAAACTACGAGATTGTCAATCCCAAGGGGTGGAAGCTTCGGCTGAAGTGCAACAAGCCGCGCGTCGGGTTGCCAACGAAAACCACAAGCTCCGACAACTTCTCTGCACACTTGGCCTAGTCGACAGACAAATCGAACAGTATATCAAGACAGGGGAACTGGACCCTTCCATTCACAATCTACCACTTGATGTACATGAAAGCAGGACTGCCGCAGCTGGGCAGGAAGCAGCCGCGTTGGAAAGCCTGCTCGTTCCACGGTGGCCAGCCTGCCTCCAAAATCCCTTACCGTTCGTGCCAGGAAGTCGTTCGGGGAGTACCGATCGGACCATCACCTATGGTCCGGCATCAAATTCCTCGGCTGAGGACTATGGTCCTTCGGCCGAAGACGTCCACCAGTCGTACGGATTGATGAGCGCATCGCCAGTGAACTTGAACCCTTCACCAATCTATCCACAGCCCGCACATCCTCAAACCCACGAATACGGCAGTCATCAGCTCAGCCGAGAGAATGTCCAATATGCAGAATCCAGCCACAGTCAGACAAGCCATGGCCCGTCGTTGAACCCGCCTGGGTATGATCCGAATCAGACGTTCGATTATCGACCGATTTTCTCGGCAGGAAATCCATTAATAGGCCATCCGCTCCCGACCTGCTGCGGGCCGCCGGCCGCGCCATACGTTGTGTACCATCCCTCACATCAGCAGCCGATATCCTACGTTACGAGTCGCCTTGGAAGCAGTGCCAGCAACACCTCCAGGTCCGCTTCGGTAGCTGATGCCGATTTTAGTATCGAAGAACGAGCATCACAGCAGACGGGCAATCCTGACGACAACGCTTGGCTACCCAAGACCCATTTCAACAGAGTGTACCTTGAGCGCCGGAATGGCTGAACGCAACAAAGGTATCGGTTACCTTTCAGAACAGCCCCATGAACCAAATACGTACTTGCTGCCTCGAGCTGCTTGCCGAGCCAGCTTGCGATAAGAAAGGGCAACAATGCAGAGATACCCATCAGGCCCAAGGACGAAGACCTATCAAGCCCCTGAAAGAGCAACGCCACAGCCCAGCCAATTCGGTCCTGGAATTTGAAGTAAAATAAAACAAGCCGAGCCTGACTTACTCGCCATTGTTCTTGGGGAAGTCATTGTTGTACAACAATTCAGACAGACAGGGGTAGTAAAGGTCGATTAGGTCTTGTTGTGCTCGAACCCCCTCCCCCCGAAAAGAACAAGAACGCTTCAAAGAACAAAGACAGTGTCTTCCCTTGAATATTTCGATACACTCGGATGCTAAAAATGTCTCGAGTTCTTTACAGGAAACAGACCATGCAATCCGGCCCTGTACACCACTCTTTGTGTTGAATGCAGCAAGTGGAGAAGGCATTGCGATGTTGCATATTGTAGGCTGTTAGTATAGGCCGCATGCCATTGAGGCCAACAGGTCAATTCCCTTATTATAGGGTTTGTTTAACAGATTTTGAAGAGCTGAGCACGAAGGGGGACGTTAAAGTAGCAGAATCCTCGAATTGTCGTCGACCGAAATCCTGCGTCTTTTGCCATCCCGCCGTAACTTTCACGTTCTCTTTCTTCTCCAGCAACACACTTATCTAAAGAAGCTTCCGCGCTGCACAGGTGTCGAATGTCACTGGAACACACCCAAGCGGTGTTCGGCCTGCTGTCCGTCTTTGCGACCTCCCACCGGGTAGAACACGAAAGGGTCAACGCGGAATACGAGGCACGAAAGGGGCTACATGCCAAGGCGATCGAGTGCCTCCAACGTCTCCTCGACGAGCTCGACGAGGCGTGCGGTATACTGTTGAGCCTGGAATCCCCAGATCGAGGGGATGCAGTCGCAACATTCAAATGCATGCAGCGCATGCTAGAATCCCAAATTGTCTTGATTCACAGCCAGATCGAGCTTGTTGACCGGGAGGTATCCAGCGCCGTGCTGACGCCGCCCCATAGCCAGAGTTCTCCTGTCATTCAGCAGCCGAAGCGGTTGTCTCCTCTTCCCCGACCGAAGCCGCCAACTCGTTTGCAGCAGAGGCCAGCAAGTTCCACGCGGCCCGTTCGAGACAATACAACGACACAATTAGCCGGGCTTGGTATACATGAGTTGCCACCGCAAGGGACGCCATCCGACGTTCTGTTACGTCCTCCTCGAGCCTCTTTCAGGAGAATAACAAGATTGCCGGTACCGGAGCCCCAAGAGCTCGCCAATGGGACCGTGAAGAAGCCCCTGTCTCCGACGGTTGTTACAGCATCGAGGCGCACGTATAAGCCATGGCCAACCGCAGACGCGGACTTTTCGCGGCCCGCGCTGAAACCCATCACCTTCAAGATGGAACGGGATACACTCCCGCGGCTGCCGGGGGACATGAGCGGCGCAGTGCACATCCGGAGACAGCTCGACGAACAGGAGGAGGCGGACGAACAGGCGCGGACGCACAGATGGCTGAAGGATATCGGGCAGCACCCGGACGATGAGGACGACGAGGGCGAGGACTCAGAACCTCGAGGCCAAAAGAGGCGCGCAGAGGACGAGCTGGATTCACCCCCAGTAAGAGAACCAAGGTACGCCGCCTGCGGGGCGGGAAAGACAGCGATGTGAGCGTAGGGTTGAGAAAACTCTTTGGCAATCTCAACCCCTTTAAAAGGAGGCAGCCACCCGGCCCAAGAAACGACGCCTCTGCAACCGGCAGCACGCAAAACAAATGCTTCGTAAATGATGACTCGGATGGCGAGGGGCCGAGGAACACCAACCCGACGAACAAGGACCCCGGCGGCGTGGGCGGCGCGCCGACCCCGCCGCCCGAGGAACCTCTCCCCGAGATCCCGCCGCCCGTCATCGTGATGGAAAACTTGCGCGACACGTTCGGCGACGGAGAGGACGACAGGAGGGCCCGGCGCTACCGCGACTGGTTCGCGTCTCTCATCGCCCTCACGGAGTCGACGCCGGGGTCCATCACTGCTCCGGGCTTCCTGGCGCGCTACGGGCAGAGGAAGAAGCTCGAGAAGCTGAAGACGGCGCTGGGGCACATGTCCGTCAGGCCCTTTGAGAAGCGGCAGGCGACGCAGCGGAGGATCAAGTCGCTCGAGGGCGGCATGAAGCAGTGCGGGGAAGCGGCGGTGAAGCTCACGGATATGGAGCTGGCGGGGGAATGGGAGGTGAAGAAGAGGCAGGAGGGCCTGGAAGAGTGCTACGGGAAGATGGGCCGGGACGCGGCGGCGCTGGAGAACCAGCAGAGAGAGCTGGCGTCGCAGGTGGCGTTGGAAGAGAAGATATTTGTCGGCGGCGTGGAGCACGGTGATTGCTTCCTCAGCTGGATCACCAAAACGAGGAACAACGTCTACTGGGAGCTCGGCTTTGCCGATCGGACACGGGAGAAGCCGGAAAGAATCAAGGTTGGCCGTCAAACGTATTACTCAGTTTGAAGCCAGCCTAATAAGGCTTCGAGTCCGAGGTTGGGATGAAGTTTGGATCGGTAAGAAAAAGAAAAAAAAAAGAAAAAAAAAAGGGGGGGGGGGGGGGGGGGGGGGGCGGCGGGGGATGGCGTCCAACTTTAGAGCCTGGTGGTTGCAAGGCACACAAAGTTTAGGAAATGGTTGATAGTTCGTGAGAAAATGGCTCGTCCATAGTGCGATTATCCTTGAAACTCCGGTGCTTATCCATCAAACCTATGCGCTCACGGCCCAAGACGAAGTAAGTTAAAAGACACGACGACACACACACAATGCCGCCTCAGTACCGCTGACCGTTCCTCATCTTCTTTTCGCTATTTTTTTCCAACAACTTGTCTCAGTTCATCAACACTGAGCCTCGTCATCGTATTGAGGGATAGTCCCTTGCGAACTACAGGAAGTAGTCGGCCACCGGCTTCTTCGCCGGCATTCCCCTGGAATCCTGTGGCGCCGCCTGGAACACGCGGTACCTCCGAGCCGGCCCAGGCAGAAGGACGTAGTCATCGGTACCTCTGATGCCGCCGCCGTCGCTGCGTCCCACATCGCCATTGCTGCGCGCGAACACGCCAGTTCCAGAATCGTCCTCTGCCAATTCGAGGATCGCCGCAACGTTGCCACAACGGTAGCAGTAGTTGGGCGCCGACCAAACCGTGACGATACTGGCGTCAAACATCTCCTTGAAACCCTCCATAACAAGTTGGTGGGCGCGAGCGATAAGGGAAAGGTCGTTCTTGTGGTTGAAGTCGCGAACAATATCGGCGCCGAATAAGAAACCAGCACCACGCGGAGACAGGCCCCACCCATCGATGTCGTCTGGGTCGGACCATAGAAGGTCGCACATGGCTCCTTCGTGTGGTACCTCTTGCTTCCTGTCCAAGAGCCGAATTTTGTCGACGCTGTCTATCAGAGGCGAAAGACCGCCGTGAACACAGAGGATGGCCCCCGCTGGGTTGCCGACGGAGCCTGATGAGCTCCCCGATGCGCCGCTGCCTGGTGGGCCTGTCTTGTCGCCCGAAGGCGCGCCGTTTGGACTGCTAGGGGTTGGTTGCCGTTGCGGTCGTCTCTGTCTGGGAAAGCGGCTCATTGTTAGGCCGGCCTGGTCACAGACCTCGATCTCTACATCTTCGTCAATGGGCTCTTGTCCCGGTGAGGGGTTGAAAGTGTGTGATGCTCCGAGAACGATGGCGCCGAGAGCAAGGTAGTCGAAAACATCGCAGCAATAGCGCCAGACGTTGGCCGAACCGTATTTTCGCAGACATTCGTCGTAGAAACCATATACCGTAGTGATTTGCCGCGACTCGTGATTGCCGCGGATGAGAGTCATGCGGTCAGGGTAGCGGACTTTGAGGCAGAGAAGGAGGAGGAAGGACTCGAGCGAGTAGAATCCGCGGTCTACAAAGTCGCCTGCATCAGATCAGCGGTCAGCGTATGGGTTCTCAGAGGCAAGCAAAGACTAAGACGGCATACCCATGAAGAGGTAGTTGGTGTCGGGGACATCGCCGCCGACGCGGAAGAGTTCCATGAGATCATGAAACTGGCCGTGGATATCACCGCAAATCTGAGAAGGACATCAGTTTCCGCTAGGTATCGCTTTGTATTGCAGTTCCCTCGCACCGTTACGGGAGCCGTGACGGTGACGACGTTGCCCTCTTCGATAAGCAGCTCGCGCGCCTTGTGGCACAGCTCTCGGACTTGCGCTTCAGGTATCGGCCGGCAGGCGCGCAGTTGCGCGATGGCCCTGAGTCGCGGGTGAGCATGTCGCGCTTGAAGGAGTATGTGAAGTCGCCCATGGAAACTCACTTGTCGAGGTCGCTCATGGCGATAACGGAGGAGGGGCTCTCTGGTTTGCGTCGAGGCTCCCGAGGCCGACGAGTCGCGATTTCGAATTGAAGGAGATAGTAACCCTCTTACTTTATAGCATGTCGTGTATATAAGAAGCCTCAGGGATATCGCAATGCGCTGCTTCTTCTTTCTCTTAGAGATATGGCTCGTTGCCCGATCAGGGCTTTCGGGATTGGATGGCGTCAGTAAGGCAAAGGTAAAAAGACGTGTAAATTGCCATTCAGCAGTCGCCGCCAGTCGCCTGCGAACCCCCAACTTTCCGTCGCGCCGGGATCTACAAGGTGGATAAGGCGACTGGTCTGTGCATCGAAGTGGATCCATATTCCAGCTTGAGATTCCCCATCTCTCGGGATATTATTGATGCGGTGGCCGATGTCGCGTTTCCTCAGGCATACGCCCAATGGCATGCCACGTCGCTCAGTGTGGACCCACTCCAAGACATCATTATCCAATCAGATGGTCTGTATAACATCAAGCTTCACTCCAGGAGCGAGAAAATTGACGGTTGCCATCCATCGTCGCGGATTCCAAGGCTTCATCAAGGGATCGACGCTGGGCCTCTTCACGTTGTCGCGCGAGCATGGTGCTGTTATAGGTGAGTCTTTATACCCAATTGACTCGTTATAATCACACCGAAGGCTTCTAACGCTCAATTGCATACAGAAGTTCGGGCCTCCTTTTCCGAATCAAAACCTGCGATCATGCCACCACATCCCCTCCACCCACGGTCGCGTATGACCTCGTCGCTCTTCGCAACCACTGTTGTCGCAAGCTTCTTCGTCGTCGGGATGCCACATTTGCTGCCGTGCCCGGCACCCCGAGTCACATATGCCGACGGAGAAATCGTGGTGGGCGAGGACGGCCGCCGGAGGAGGCGGAAACGCCGCGAGGCAGGCCCCGAGATCAAGGACGGCATTGTCAGCTTCAACCAAGTCGGCGACGAGGAGACGATACGAGCACAGCAAGAGCGATTGAAGAGGGAATGCCCAGTGCCGAAACCTGGCGGCATCTTGGGAGAGTGGTTGGGATTCCACGGGCCGAGTAAGGGAGCAGAGTCGACGAAAGCAGAGAGGTGACGATGGCAGGTGAACATATGTACAACTCAAGATACCATTCATGTTTCATGACGCGACGCTGCTCTCTTTGATTCGTGATTGTTTGGAACTAATGCTAAGAGAAGGATGTTGCACGTCGCACGCTGGAATAACGCCACTCAGCTGGCCGAGAGGCAGCAGAACCAAATCAAGACAACAGTCCGTAGCGACGTCTTTCTGGGACGGAAACAGCAGGCAGGGTTTTGCGTGGCGAACGGCGTGCGGGTTGCATAGACAAATGGCAGTCTAGCATCTTGCAGCCTTGCACCTCATTCCTAGCTTCTCAGATCTCGCCACAGGCAGTAGCCTTGGACAGCTACAAATCCGATTCTTAGCCACAGGGGTACGGCATTATGAAAGAGGGGGCGTTCTTCTGTTCTGAGGTTACAAATGCACGACCAAAGTGACATATGGTTGTTTACAGTCACGCCTCCCGTTCACTGCATCGAATCAGAGAGAAAGTGTAGGTTTCCGAGCAGGGTTGCCATCAATACCAGCTCTGCAGTATTGTCTTCGCACCCTTTGCCTCTCAAAACATCTGCCTTCCCAAGCCATGTGCTCCAGAGTTGTGCATTACTCGAGTAGCGTGTACGAGTAGAGTAGGATTCGCAACTAAGGATTCGCCGCTGTTAACAGCACCCGAACAGCTGCTGGCTGAGGGGTAGGCAAGGCAAGTCTAAATAAGCACTCGTCTTTGAAATCAAGGTTAATGTGGCGAAGTGTACTCCGTACCTGAAACACCATTGCAGTTTTCCCCCTTGCAAAGTCGCATCCTCACGGGTATTCAGGCCAATCTGGTTAGGGTGGTGGTTTGATGGGTTGCTCGGGTGAGAGCATCACGACCACCTCATGGGTTATAGTTTAGGAGCTGCAGGTCCAACAACCTTTCTTCTGGCTTCTTTTTATTTGTCAAGATTGATGGAAGGACCCGTCACGATCTCGTGATCGCTGCGCATCACTTGCTATGTTTCCCTCTGGGCCCCGGGGTGTCATCCTTCAAATGCCGTACATTTATCGACGCATGATCTTCCGGGAAATTAAATAGAGGGTGACAGTTGAAATTGAAAAAGGAACAAAAAAAACAATGCCTTGACTGATTTGCCAGAGCACGAGGTTTGAAACCTTCCCACGGCTGGATTGCGTCCGGACGATCGAAGGGATGAAACGTCAGCAAGACTTGGTGTAAGATCCACGCTGCCAGGTCTCGCCCTTATCCCTGCGTCGCAACCTCAACTCCCGTTAACAATCTCTGAGGCTGAAGGCGCCGGATGCGCGATTCGCCGCACAAGAGCCGGCGCTCTTTTTGTCATCCCCTTCAGGGAGGGCTGGGGACAAACCTCACTACAGCCCTGTCGCTAAAACAAGCTTACTAAGGCTCTCTCGTCTTATTAAACGTGGAGGGGCGGGTAGGTCGCAGCTTGCAGTCTAATCTGTCAGATGCCAAGAACGGCTCAGATCAGTCGAAACAGCCGATGAACGAGTCACGACAGGCGGATCGTGCGCTGAGGCACGCGACATGGAGGTTCAGAGTTGAGTTGGCGGGTGCCATCTGTTTTCTGACGGAGCCGACTGAGACCGGACTCGACACCTCCATCGCAGCCCGGACCCCAAACTCTGGGGTCACCTCACTACCCCGTACCTGGGACTTCAGACGCCACCCGCCATCAGCCTGCCGGATGATTTAGAATTCTGGATGGCGTCTGTCTCACGAGTGCCGAAAGATGCCATCCGATCTTGGCGAGGGGCCATGTACCAATTGGCGAGCATGGTCCGCACGAGTTATGCTTAATGACTGCTCTGGGGAGTTGAGAAGATAAATAGAGACCGTTTCCCCGGACCGAATTGTGTTTTGTTCTTCATCCCTTCTCTTCAGTACAGTCTTTCCACTTCAACTTCTCTTCTACCATCCAAGAGCTGTGCTCTATTTCCATTCTTTCTCAACTTCTGTCATTCCTTGATACCCAGTAAGTCACCCAGCCCAAGCTGTTGAAACGAGCAAGAGCTGACAGTTGCCTAGTTTTTCCCAACACTTCACTTCACTCCACAACAGTCCTTTCAAAATGAAGTCCTCCATGGTTCTCCTTGTCGCTACCGGCCTGGTGTCGGCTCTCAGCATCCCCCAGCTGGACGCCCGCAATGCCGTTGCCCGGGTCGCTGCCTCAGCACCTGCCGCTGCTAATTCGGCTCCTGCTTCCGCGGCTGAGGGTGCCGCAGCTCCCGCCGCCAGCGGTGACGCCGCTGCTGAGGATGCCAAGAAGAAGGCTGAGGAAGATGCCGCTAAGAAGGCCGAGGAGGATGCCGCTAAGAAGGCCGAGGAGGATGCCGCCAAGAAGGCCGCGGATGACGCTGCCAAAGCTGGCAAGAACAACGACAACAAAAACAATGATGACGCCAAGAAGCAGCAGGAAGATGATGCCGCCAAGAAGCAGCAGGAAGATGCTGCCAAGCAAGCCGAGGAGGCCATGAAGAAGTACCAGCAGCAGCAGGAGAACAACAACAACGACAACAACAACCTGAACAACCAGGACAACAACAACATCAACAACAACAACGCCGTTCTGGAACAGAACATCCAGCTCCTCCTCGCTGCCATGGGTCTCAACAACGTCGTCAACGTCCAGGCTCTCGCTCAGCTCCAGGCCCAGCAGCAGCTCATCATGCTCGCTCAGCTCCAGCAGCTTGCTCAGCTCGGCGCCGTCGGACTGGTCAACCAGAACCAGATCCTCGCTCTCGCGCAGCAGGGACTCGTGTTCGGCGGCATCAACGGCCTCAACAGTCTCAACCTCTGTAAGTCAAGTCCTGCAACATCCAGACATGACGTTTTTCACGGTGCTAACAAGCCTGCCTACAGTCAGCTTCCAGTAAATGAGGTCTCGAGCCCTGGCTCTCTGGCTGAGTCGGAGCGGAGTCAAACGGTGACCGTTTGGGGAGATGGCTAGGCTTTGGACTGGCATTGTTGTAGCAATGAGGGTATGTTTCCACGCGCCCGGGTTGGCTTGAAGTGTCCCTAGTGGACGCTCGCCAAGGGCTTGACATGATGGCGTTTGGGGCTTGCTTTGGTGCTCTGGCTGCAGCTGCAGCTGGGGGCGAAAGGGCTTGGATTGTTTAGTTTATGGGTTACGATGCATTATTACGAGGCTGTCCGCTTGAAGCTTGGACAGGGGTTGACATGTGTTATGGTGTATCATAAGAAAAGAAAAAAACCATTTGTCACCTGCCATGGTTCCGGCTGCTGCCGATACGAGATTTGTGAGAGTGAGGGTGAGAGAGAGTAAGAGAATGTGTGCTGAATCGGCTGGCTGAGCGGTCACAAGACTGTGCTGATGAGACGAATGTATTGAATGTATTGTTTGCCAGTTTGGCCGGGAAATTCCTAGCTATCTGGTGTGCCAAGACCGAGCCTTGACAGCAGCTCTACATAAGCTCATCGCCGCTCCTTGGCACCATTTGGCCGGCACGCTCCTTGACTCTGGTAACTTCGAGTACAATGAACGCCCTTTCGCAACATGATTGATGGTTGTTGGTTTTTTTACTCTATCGAGTTTTTCCGAGAATCTTTAGGTTTCTTTGTCCCTATGTCACACGTGTACACACACACACACCCATTTTTTATTTTCTTTGTTTCCCCTTCTTCGCTTGATTCGTTCTTGCTTTCCCTGTAGTCTACTCTCTTATCTTATTAAAAAAAACATTACAGAACCTGTCATGAGATCATGAAAGACCTTTCTCTGTCGTTCACTTTAACGGCCGAACATAAAGCAACCATACGCGCCGACCATCCGATGAGGATGGTTCTCGGCTACATCCGACTCGTCTGAACAGAAAGGAAAAAAGGAAGGGGGGGGAATAAAAAAGGGGGGGGGGGGGGGGGGGGGGGTCGGTATGAGTGCCCGAGACAGCAAACAGCTGCCATCTGAAAATCGTCTCATTACGCCAGGGTAAGGTATGTAGCTACTCGGAGGCGAATGAAAAGCCTGCTACTTTGCTGCGCTTGTCAAACGCCAATCCAACTCTCTTCCCTCCGGAATCGTTGAACATCCGGAATGCTCGCATCATGTGGGGCCGGGCATGGTGCAAGGGTCGCTCACGTTCGCGACCTAGCCGTCATCCCCCGACAATGCCATGGAGGGAAGATGCCTCGCCGACAGCAACCTGTGACACTTTGAGGGGCTCGGGCTTCGAATGCCGGACAGGGGGTTTTTTTTTTTCTTTTTTCTTTTGGACGACGAGGGCCCGGACGTGTGGAAGGGATGCATAGCAAGCCTGCACATTTGACACTGACAGCCCTGCTAGTGGCCGGTACCTACTCCTAGGTAGCTGCTCCCGGACCGCCCCCCAGAGGAGAGACTCAATATCATTGGTGTCTTACCCGGAAAGGGATAGTGGTAGAGGATCCAACGGCCAATGACGACTCGGCTGTCAGCGCAGGAGCCAGCGAATGATCAGTGCCATAGACGGGGAAGGGGTACCATCGCGTCACAGTCCCACTGACACGACTCTACGAACAGTCACAAAACCTTAGTTGAGCCGCTCAAACGTCTCTATTTCCCTCAGTTGTGTGTGATTGGTCGTTTCCCAACGGTTTCGTCCAATCACGGCACTCGTGCTTTCCACTTTTGGGATGAAGCCCCAGGCCTACCTGCCCACCATCGACACTCCTTTGACTCTCTCGACTCTTCGTCCCATCAATGCCCTCGCCGACATTCCGGCTCGGCGGTCTCCTAAAACGGAGCACACGCCTGGAGCTGGTGCCTCAGCTCAACTTCATCCCTTCAGAGAGACGCCTCCCAGGTCCCCGCCTTGAATTGCCACAACGGCCTGTTTGTTGCCCGGCGACAGCCCGCCCGCCTTCCCTCCCCGGCAACCCTCCCCGGCAACTCTCCGCAAAGTCTTCGGATGGCACTTCAGCCATGACTGCGCCGTCCTGACTGATCATCCCCCCCATGCTCTTCCGTCTTTATCCGGTCCAAACGTCCATCACGCATAATCCGCCACTGCTGTTCCGCGCCCTCCCTGATCAAACCGCCCCTCCCTCACCGTTGCTCCTCGCCAACAGCCCTCACGAAACGGATTGCAATCGCTTCTAATCTCATCGCAGATCTCGAGACAACCTCAGCTTCAATTCTTTTCATGCTACTCCGGAAAACGAAGACTGGAGGGGCCGTTCATTGACTCGGCGACGCCCAGCCGACTCGTCAGCCCCCTTCGGGCATTCATTCGTCGTCCCACCACGCACAAGACCCGCTAAGTAAGGTTAATTCTGGCTTTTGGTCGCACGCACGCATGTCCTTTCCAACCGCAGGTCGTCTGTTTCCTCGCCCCCCCTGCCCACCCTGCCGTGATTCCTAGTCTCGGGCCTGAAGCGATCCGAACATGGCATTTGACAAACTTTTGGCCGGCGACAAGCACAATTCTTTGCCATTCGCACCATCGGGGAATTTACTGGCGTGTGACTGGCAGATCCATGTACGAGCACAGGACGGGTTCTTACTATGATCTATTCGGCATTTGGCTATTCTCTGTTTCCTGAGTGGCGCAGCCAACATCATCCGAAGACGCCTGGCCCCCACCCCTCTCGCCATCCCGCCACCCCTGGTCTCATATCCCTGCTCAACCGTTTGATCCCATACGCTTCCGTCCCAGCATTACCTGAACTTTGATACGCCCCGGATCACTTACTCGCCATCTTTCCGGGCGCACGGGGCACGTCAACCCACTCTTGGCAACGGTCCGAACTCCACATGCTTCGTGCCGCAGCGCAACCGTCCAAATGCATACCCTCCCTGACATCTTGGCTTCTGTTCTTCTTGTATATAAGAACTCCATGCCGACGACTGTTGAGCGTTTCCTTTCCTTCCTCATCCACTCACACAAGTCAATCATCCGGTTCCATCTCTTTCATTTCATCTTCATTCTTTCACTCCAGAGGTCAGTAGTTTCCGAACCCACGACGAGAAACATCTATAACATCTTGTGCTAACCCATCCGCAGCTGTGCTCATTGTTTCACTTCACTCTCTTTCCACCCACCAGTCTTTACACAAAACACACAGAGCTGCGCTCTCTTGTCACCTTATAACTCTTAATCCAACTTCAATCACCTACACAAACCCCCCACCCACCACCACCAGCCAAAATGCGTTTCACCAGCATCATCGCCGCGGCCTTCGCCGTCGTCGCCACCGCCGCCCCCACCACCGCTGTCGAGCCCCGCGGAAACGTCAACCTCGCTGCGCTCAACAACCTCCAGGGCTTCAACAACTTGGACCTCAACTACCTCCTCGCTCTCAACCAGCTCAACCTTGGTGGCCTTAACCAGCTCGGCCAGGTCAACAACTTGAACCTCGCCGCCTTCCAGGGCCTCTTCGCATCCCAGAACTTCGACCTCAACGCCCTGCTCCAGCTGCAGCAGCTGTCCACCCTTCTTGCCATCCAGCAGCAGGGCCTCTTCAACAACAACATCAACCTCGCACAGTTGAACTTCGGCGCCCTGAACTTTGGCTTGATCAACAACCTTGGCGCCATCAACCTCGGCCAGTTCATCGACCCCAACCTGATCGGCCAGATCACCCAGGTTGTCCAGCAGTCTTCCGGTAAGTCCCTAACCACTGTCCTTCTTGAAGATCAGGCACTAATTCATACCTTGTTTCAGTCGTCCTCGTCGGAAAATAAGCGCTCTCTTGTACATCTTTACAGATAACCAAGAACAACTAGCATATGGCCGGTTCTGGCCAAGGATGATATTGTGAGAAGGGAGTTCAGTCAATGAGGCACATGTATGAAGTTTGCAACTGGGTCATATTCGGGGTCACAGTGTTTACGCCACTCATTTAATATCTGGCGCGATCTCGTTCATATGATCGGCACATTGAGCATCTTGGCATCGTGGACATTGGAATAGTTTTACGACGGCATGAGTGGGTCCGGGACCAATGGATACTTGACTTTAATCATTTTGCTCGTCTTCCATCGCTTCTCGAAAATGCAAACATGTTTCCCTCCTTCGGAGAGAAAGTGAAACCCCTTGGCTCCGGGACCGGCCAGGCAGATTTTCTCCGTGGGCCCACCCCCCTTCCGTCCGAAGAGAAACAAATCGTTGCCAAGTCTCGGCATTGCGGAATGTTGTGCGGCGATGGCGAGCGGTGGGTATCTGCGCGTCCTGAGCGAAAAGCCCCGTTCCTGTCTAGTACTGACCTGGTTCCAGAATCAAAGACGACGGACGACCTACCAGCCATCCCCAGCGCGCCAGCCGTGCACGGCATCGCGGCCCCTGTGCGGAACCCTCCTCCTCCCCCCCTGCTTCCCGCGCGAGAGAGAGAACCCCGCCTGCCGTCGTCGGAAGTCCCGCTATGCTTCGGTGCTTGCTTTTGCCCTTCTTCCTCCGTCGTTTCTTATTTGGCCTTAGCGGAACCCAGTGTTTCCGAGGAGCCTTAGCATCTCGTACGTTTCCTGCAGCAACAAAAGAGGACTTCCATCCCGGCTGCCTTGTTTTTGTTCTGAAGCCTCTCCCGCCCCTCCCCGACTAGGCTCGCCAAGCCCCGGCCAACGTGCATCGTACCGGTGTCAGGTAACCCGCCAACCCCCCCCCCCCCCCCCGGTAACGTCGAGGATCGGGACTCTGTACCGGTCTTCTCGCCATCCTCTGCTCGACGCTTGGTCTCATGTATCCCTTGGGTTTCCCACCGATACGGGGAGTAGCTAGCTTTGGGGTGGTGCCTGCACACTTGGTCCCGTTGAATGTCTTCATCGACACGATGCTGCCAAGAGCCAGCCGTATGGGTCTATGCGAAACCCGAAGGATTTGCGAGCCGGTGGAGAGGACCGCGGCAGGCGTCGTAGCAGTCTTGTTGGGGAGGCACCGCCCTTTGTGCCGGGGCTACCAGCATCGCAGCCCCCCCCCAGCACCGCAGCCCATCCATTCGCCCAGGGGCCAGTCATCGACCCGAACCCGGGCAATGGGTTACCATGCATATTACGGAGGTGGCTCTCAGTACTTGGGTCTATCACTTGAACAATACCGACCCTCATGAACAGGTCGATTACTAGCCCTACGAACACCTGGTACTGCCACCGCCTGGGTTCTCCTCCGCCGAACTTCGCCCAGTCCGCGCTGTTTACTATCCAGGGTATGTAATCTACTACTATGACGGTCCACAACGGCCAAGGGAGACGGGATGGCACAGTCCCGAGGGCCCGGGAGATCTCCTGGGGAAGAGATGTTGGGATTGTCAGGCGTCTCCAGGGGAGAGTAGCTGAAGAGAGAGGAAGGGGGGGGGGGGGGGGGGGCTCCTCGTCGGCCTCTTAGGATTGCGCAGCCCGCCCAGACGCACGGCATGGGCGAAGTTGGTCAACACACGGGTGGTTTGACGTGGCAACGCAGGTCGCCGGCCTTCCTACGACCACCTCATAGTCGCGGACGACAACAAAAACCAAATCGCCATTTTTTCGTTGGGAGGTTTTTTTTTATCCGTTCTTTTCTCCCTTCTTTTCTACGCCGCTGGGGTTTTTTTTTTCTCCTTCTTCTTTTTTTGTTATTGTTGAAAATCTCACCTGAAGCGCGCCGCCGCACGGGGAGGTGAACGTAAGCCCGGGCCCCGGGACGGGAGGGTCCGAGTTCCTGCCGGACGGGGGTGGACACAAGAACGGACCTTCTTGGCCGACCGGCCCCCCTCCCCCCGGACCCACACGAACAGGAGCTGCAGGACGATGCGCGACACGGTTGGTGCGGAAGAATTAAACTCGCAGGCGAGAAGATCCGGGTGTTTGCGGTGCATGGAGAGCTGCACAGGTATCCATCCCTATGCAGTATACAGATGCTCGTTGAAGCGATCTGCCAGACAAGGAAGGTCATGCGCCATCGCGATGACGCCTTCTTCTTCACACCCTCCTTTCTTGTCCTGCACGAGAGGCTTGGCAGGTATCGCCGGCGGGCGGCTCGGGCTGGCGCTCGGACGATATCTTTCCTTTGGGGTGGGTGGGGGGGCCGTGGCATCTCCCCGTTGGCAGTGGCAGACCTTCGGACGGGACCACAGCCGCGGCTGCGTAATGCGCCGCGTTAGCAAATCTCTTGGAGCTTGCGATATCCCATGCCTCCGCTTCCAGTGACTCGACGCTGCCCTCCCGGCGCCGGGGCGCCCCGTGGGCCGAAGCCATCAAAAGCCTATTCAGCCACTGGCTCAGGTAAGAGTCGCGGCGACAGTGAGCTTACGTAGGTAGGCTAGTGAGTAAGTCTCATGTGTCGCAGTCCGTGGTGAGATCCCGAAGGGTCGGGTCCAATGACCCAGGCCTTGACGGCAAAGGGATTGGTCGTCGGATGGGGGCCCAGTCATACGCCTCCTGCTTTGTCGTTGTGGAATGCCGGATGCAAAAGAGACTACAGGGAGGCCTGCTAGCAGAAAGGGCACTTGGGAAGATCGCTAGCCCGTCCCGGGGCGGCACTTGTCGGTGAGACGGCGACGGGCCCGAGACTGGGAATCGCCTCCAGATTGTTCGATCCCATCAGGCGACGGATCGAATTCTCTAGCATTCTACCTTTTGGCAACCGTTGCTTTCCTTTTCATCTTCTTTCTTTTTGGTGTGGAGGTGGAGGGTCGGCTAAACCCGTATCGCTACCTCAGCCGCCATCAGCTTCGATGTCTTGGAAGGCGCCATGCCTCAGGAATCGGTCGCCGAGGTGCCCGCGATGGCTCTGTTAGGCAGAACCCCCCAATCAGGAGCTCGTTAGATCTCTCTGCAGCCCAGGCCACGTATCCCGCTTCGTCCTGCCAAGGCTGCACTCTTGCTGTGGTCCCTCTGTGTTGGTCGAAGCAGCTTGGGCGTCCGGTCTGGGGCCCGAGCGATGCGCCCCGATCTGTACACTGCTGGGTTCAGATGCGCCTGCGAAAGGGAACAGACTAGTGGGGGTGCGTACCACGGGCTGGATGGAAAGAGGCTTATGTTGACGACGGCCATCCGTGATGGCTGGTCAACATGGACCACAAAGCCACGCCCAAAGCTCCCAGGTACAGAGCAAGTGTCATGTCTTTTGGTGGCTTGATGTCGTTGATCTCACAGTCCAGCCGCGGGAGGAGCAAATGTTTTGGTTGGTACAATGGAGAGGTCCGCAAGACAAATCCTCGTGGACTAGTGGTTATGCCGTGGGGCCTACAGTCCAGTTACCAATTTTTCCGAGGATCCCAGCCATCAACAGCACGTTCCTGTCCCACCGCCGCAACATCAACGTGGCCATTCGGTCCTAGCAACTCGCCTATGCTATGGCTCGCCTGTGTGCCCAAGTTGCCGCTGCATAGATGCAGTAGCCGGATTAGAGTTATGTATCTGCACTCTCTGATCCTGTGGCATCACGATGGTTACATCTTCAGGATTGACTATGGCGAAAGAAGACCAGACACGTTTCCGGCAGGCCTCGCTCTGAAGGATGCCCAAGAACTTGCTCACATTGGAAGGATAGCAAGAGCCACAAATGCCGAAGCGCCCACTGCCACAAGCCCGGCGTCGCAACAGTGTAGCTGCCAAGTCACCGCACCTGATATCGAGTCCGTCGGGGAGAGTGCGGGATGCGTTTCGCCAGCTCCGATCGATGCCGTCTGGTGCACGTATTATGAGACCACGGCAGATTCCGGACAGAGAGAGAGAGAGAGAGAGCGTGGTGCACGGCTTCCGGACAAGTCGTTACGAGCAGCCTGGGTCACACGCCACGAGCCCTTTGTTCGGCTTCTGAAGGGGGGAGATCTAGACCCTCGACCTTCCGGGTAAGGACGCCCCGGTGCAAAATTCAAATCCCGCTCCAGACTCGTTGCTGTGTTTCTCGAAGCGTCGTTCAAAGTACAGCAACGTGGGGCGACTGCCGAGCCTGGGCCCCCGGGTTGCTTCAAGTCGTGACTGCTTGCTGCCGACGAGAGGAAGAGCCGCAATGGCAAGTAATCATGTTGTCATCATGGGTACGTGAGCCACACGATGCAAAGTTTCGGTTCTGCCCACGGACAACCGAGCAGACAAGCCCGATAGACGGGGAAGATGACGGCCTTGGACCCTGAAAGAGGCTATGGGTGACGTGGTGGACAGGGGGTGGCAGGGGATTGTGCCCTTTTGGGAGGTAGGGAAGGATCCAGCTCAGGAGCTCTGAGACGAACGGCCCGTCCTACGGCTGACTGTTGGCACCAGCCCAGGCACCCGGCAGAAATCATGGACGCGGCCAAGGCCATGCTCAGGAATGAACAAGGCGTCGAGATTTACATGGTGGAGATGGGATAAGGTTGTGCGTGTAAGACGTGCAGCCCGTACACTAGTGTAATCAACTACCATAGGGACGGCGGTTAGGGAGGGGGGTTTGTTCGAGGTTGCTGGGACGAAGGAAGGAAAAATGATCTGACGTATGGTGCATTAATGCAGTGACGCGGAGCGCGTTATGCAAAATGGCGGTTGGTGCTGGCGCTAGTTAGCCAAGGCTGGGCCGAAACAGTTGAGGTCGTGCTTCAGTGATTTGGAGTAAATACGCGGGTGCTGCACGGTTAGTGTGCGGGAGGTTGGAAGAATGCGCGGGCGGGCGTGCTCCAGTCGTTCTGCATGTGGTTGCATCTCCGGTTGCAGCCAATTCAGGTACGGATACATGGGGAAAACAAAAAACAAAAACGCGTGCGGGATCAAGGTTAGGCTCGGTGGACTGGCAAGATCGACATATCCTCCGCAGACCGAGGCCGAAACGGACCGCCATGCGAGGGCAAGTGAAGTAAGTGGTGAAGAGGGCAGGCATGCAATGCACGAGGGCGCATCAACAAAGCCTCACGATTTGCCAAAGATGGTCCTGAACTCGGCATCGTACGTATCTTAGTTTTGACTGAGCGGTGTAGGCTAGGCGAGACTTCTGGGCATGCCTAGACAGGTATCGTGATGTCGTGCTGTGGTTCCGGCTGACGATATCAAATCATGGGACAAAGAGAAGCCAGTAAAGCGAAAATGAGAAGAATAAAAATAAAAGAAAAAGGTGTAAAGGACTATGAGACAGGAGCGAGCGTCTAGACGGCCGCAGTTGGAGAGGATCGTGAGTACGATGACATCGCAGCATCTCCCTCCTTGGATCGAGTCTCTTTCAAGTCGTTCCAACCCCCCCCCCCTCCCTATCGCCGCGGACTCTGGGGTAGAGAACAAAGAGCAAATCGAGAGAGAGCCTCGGCGACGCGCAAATCTAAATCTCAGGCGTGACTTTTCCAAAGGAGGGGGGGGGATATGTCAATCGGCGTGGTTGTGGCTGGGTTAGTGTGATGCTAGACGCTAACAAGATTAGACAGACATATAGGTAGGGGTCTCAGCGCGCAGCACAATCAATCAATCAATCAATGGCAGACCACGATCAGTGTCAGTGTCAAGGTCAGGGTCGTCTTCGGAGGGTAGTAACGGACAGTACGGAGTACATAGTGTAGATGGTGAAGTGGTCCAGAACAGGATTGTGGCTTAGGATCGTCCGGGGGCGGGCGGCTTGGTTCGCATATCTGTACATGTATCCGTAGTTATGCTCTGCATCAATTTTGACGATCGGTATCCGCCAAGCATCCCGTTGTCCAAGACACCGTCGTGCTATGTGCGTACGGTATTTCTCCTATGCACAAACCATTTCTACTACTAGGTAGCCGAGTCCGACGGAAAGGTGGATGAACGGGTCTCGCGGCTGCCTCTCGCCCTCATGTCCGGCTCCAACGGGTGGCTCGCGCGCGGTGAAGAAAGGCCGCCTTTCCCATGCCTTGCCGTCCATCGTTGGACGCCATGGTTGTCGGTGGACAACCGGGGAGGGGGGAAGAAGAGATCCATCTGCAAAAGTGACCTGTCGCAGATAGGAGTCCCCGAAATGTGAGAAGACAAGTACTGGGGCAGGTACCTGGCAGGTTCCCCGCCCAGCTCCTGATCACCACACTGGACTAACTGCACTACCTACTACTTATCCGTTCGTATGTAGGTACGGATAGGTCGGACACTGTTCAGGCTCCAACTCAGCCCAGGTTTCTGTGGATATCGCGCCCCCGCCGTCTCCATCCAGTACACTATGACACCAAAATTAGCAGCCGTCAAGTCTTTCGTCACTTACGGTGAGCATCGAGAGAGGAGCCGAGCCGGCCGGGATGGCCTTGGCCGGCTCGGGAACCACCAAGAAGGGGTTTAAAAAAAATAAAAATGAAAACCACAACGCGACACCGAAGGCGAAGGGGGACGGACAGGGAACGCAGCAAAAGAGCCAATACCAAGACAGACAAGCCTGGGCAGCATGTGCGAGTGATGGTCGTTTTTTGGGGGGGGGGGAGGGCCGCAGGTAGGGTTCGCTTGGCCTACCCGTATCCATGTGGCCCATTGGGGAACACCACCAGTCAGCAAACAATGCATGCCGATGGCACCATCTGATCGGCCATCCGTGTGACGAAGCCGCCAGTCCTGGATGTGTATGGTACACTGCATAGTGGTTTGGAAGCACAAATCGGGGTTTTCCTCTTGCGTCTGCGTGCGTGCACCGTCCTCTCCTGGCTGTGTCTTGTCTTTTCCCCGATTCGATCTCTGCTCGCTCGGATAGGCAACGAGGCACGCGGGTGGAGGGGGGGAGCTATCCGTTGTCCTCAGCGCGCTGCTCACACAACCAGTGGTTTGAAAGTCAGACGAAGGATGAATGAGAGCAAGTGAGATGAGACGGTGATGGGACGGCAGCAACAGCATCGGCATCTTCATCAGCAATGACATTGTCACTGGCACCGGCAACGGCACCAGCATCGGCAGAGTGGCTGGAATTGGCGTGGCTGACCAGTGGGGGAGAGGAGATCCAAGTGCCGCTCACGCCTCGGCAGCAGTCCAACGTCATCCCGCCATACACCGGTAAAATTGGTTGGTGAGGTATTACCAGTACCTGAGGCGTGTTATGATCCGAGATCAGGGAACAAGCCAGCAAAGAAGAAGGGGCATCGACAGGAACAATGGCTGCCCGAGCATCAGTTATGTGTTTGCGGGTCTGATGCGAGCGTTTCGTCTGCACCGGATGGCTGGAAACGAATCTGCCAGTTCACCGCGGGTCTTCCTGGAAGCTCGAGACTGGGATGTTGGTTGTTGCGTCAGCCGTTGTCAAAGCATACATGTGTCAACTTGGTGGTGGCGGCGAAGGTGGTCGGTTCGCCTAGGATTCATGTGGCATGACTGAAGAGCGCTTGCTTGCTGTCTTGTCGTCGAAACGCGCGTGTGGTTGTTGTAAGATGGCGGGTGGGACGTTTGACTTGCTTTGCTTTGCTTTGCTTTGCTTTGCTTTGCTTGCTGGCATCGGCAGTACGTGTGTCATGTTCCATGATATGATTTAGACTCAACACCCTCAAGCAGGTAGGTAGGTAGGTGGTGCACTAGAAATATGCAGGCATTACAGGCATTGCATGCAGAGCAGAGCAGAGCAGCACAGGCGGCATTTCGGCCGCTTTGTTTTGTGCCCGTATTTCCAATATTTTCGTCTGCTTTCTCGCCATCTCTCCCCAGTCTCCCGCCCCTGTCCACGACATGGGGCACCCTTGCCCTCCTTTCTGCAGATGGGTATCCGTACACTACTACTAAAGAGCCGGGCAGCGTACAGTAGTGTACGAAGTGCGGATACTTGGTAGAGAAGTGGAGGGCTTCCACCCGTTTCCCTTGCCGTATTGCCTGCCGCACGTATTCGTACGGTAGTGCCATGACCGCCATTTTGCCTTTGGTACGGATGTTGTGGGAAAACTCCAGTGTTTATTGATTCCGTCCTCCTCACCCCTGGACGACGGGGGGATGGAAGCAGAAAGACAAACAGGGAGGCAGGATACGAATCCCGCCAGCCAAGTACGCCAAGGGACAGAGAGACCGAACCTGAACAAAAAAAGAAATAGAGAGAGAGAGAAAGAGAGAGTTGGGGATAAAAAAAAAAAAGAGAGAAAAAAAAAAGATGTGGAATTGAAAGGTAAGGTAGGTAGGTACCTAGGTACTTGGCGGATACATGTCGGTGGGTCGTTCTTGTTCTGGGAGAGTAGGGAGGGAGGAAGGTAGGGAGGGAGGAAGGCAGGCTTTGGGGGCTTGGGCTCTCCTCACCCCCGGAACAACACAGCATGCTGCTGCATTGCTGTGCATATCGCGTCAACACGGACCATTTCGAATGGGGAGGGATCCTCCACCAGCGCAGTGCCGTCAGGTTCCGTCCACGTCCCAGACCTTCCCAGGCCTCAGCCCACTCGAGTGTGCATCGCCCACTGCCCGAGTTCCCTCCCAAAACCGGGAATCCACCCAGCTCTCGGAAGACAAGATTTAGGCATGAGGTACGTACCTCTTTGTACCAGGTCCTACCTACCTTACCTACCTAGCTAGCGTAGCTCGCAGCTTCCCGCTCTTTGCGACTCGTTTCTTTTCCCAGCCAGCCCAGCCCAGCCCAGCCCGACTCGGGGCTCAGCCTTACTTTGCTCTTTCTCCATCCTCGAACCCCTTTTGACTCCTTTTGACTGTGTCCAAGGTAGCTACGTAGGTACCAGGTATGTAGGTAGGTAGTTGGTTGTGTACTTCTTAGTGTACCTAGTTTACTTTGTCTTCCTCCACACCTTGCAATTCCCATCTTGAAACCCACTACATATACCACCCCGACCTCCCCTCCTTCTACGGGCTTGCTGTCTGCCCTTGCCCTCCTCACTCACTTCTCCAACTCGCCTTGCGTGATACCTTCCCTTCACCTCGACACCCGCAATAAACATTCCATACGAATATGAGCAGCACCCCCTACTGCTCAGGACCGAGGACAGGAAGAGTTGGCTCTTACGACGTTCACCGCCCACGACTGCTCCGATCCACGAACAGATAATTGCATTCCGCTCATACCCGCCCCCTGCTATACTGCCGCGTGCCAGACAAAGACCAGAGACAACTTCAGAATCACCTACCTCAAAATGGGCAACATGGCGAGACAACTCCAGAGCCACCCCGACTACTCGGACGACGAGTACGGAGCCGAGGACGCCTTCTTCACCTACCGTCCCCTCTCCAACCTTCCCACCCCGCCACCTTCTTCCAGAAACTCTTCCGCCCACCAGAGTCCGAAAATGACCTTGGAAGACGGAGAGGTCCTGCACGAAAGGTTTCTTGGTACGTATACAATGATTACGCAACGAGCGAGACGGAAGCACATCTTACCACCCACCCATTGGCGCACTTGATACGATGCGCGGGGCAAGAGGGGGAGACAGCTCCCCCAGAGTCCCTTCAATGCAATGCAATATATCATATGCAGTGTAATGCTAACATGTCTGCGTGCTTGCAGGCCCCGCCATCCACCTCGTCAACCTCATTCCCACGTCAGCTTCCCTCACAACCCCCTCGGTACCCCTCGTGCAGGCCATGCTTAGCCGGACCGGCTTGCCGCTCGAGACCATTGCCTTGGCCGCATGCATCCTCGACTCTCTCAACTCCAAATTTGCCCTGAGCTGGCGTCTCCAGTGCCCCCTGCTCGTCGAGAGCGCCCTTCCCGCCAACAAACGTCACACCCTCGGCCACAGCCCTCTCCTCGACCGCCGCCGCCAGCAGCAGATGCACATCGACTCGGTCCAGCCCGAGCTCATCATTCTCGCCGCTCTCGTCATTGCTGCCAAGTTCACCGACGACTGTCACGAATCGACCCAATACTACTGCGCCGACTGGGGCAAGGACATCTGGTCGTGCGAACAGGTCAACGTAACGGAGCGCTGCATCTGCGAGAACCTCAATTACCGCATCAAGCCCCTGGTCGACGACGAGGAACTGATCGCCGACACCATGGTTGATATGCAGCTGGCCGCCCGCCATTACAACTCGTCCCGGCCCGTCCAGCCCCACGAGGTGAGACACAGCAAGAGCAAGAGCATGACCTTGGGCACCGCCGTCGTCGGCCTGGGCCTCCAGCTCACACCCCTCGATACGCCCAAGTCCGAGGCTGGCTCGTTTGGCGACGAGGTGCGCGCCGCCCTCGAGAACGCGTCCTTTGACGGCGATTATACGCCCCCGACCTTTGCTGCCAACGACATGGTCCTGGCTTCCGCTGGCGAGGAGCTTGACGTTCAGTGAAGGAGTAGAAACAAAAAAAAAAAAAGAAGGAAAAGGCAAAAGGAGATCTCAGCGAGCGAGCGTTTTTGTTTGGGTTCCACCAACGTTTGATATGCATGCCCCTCGTGGGAGGGACCCCGCGAGGAGCGTGGGTGACGAGATACGGTCTAACGGTACACATCTGCATGAGGCATCCACCCCACCACCTGCTTGTATTGATGGGGAGGTGGCGGCGGCATCGACTCTTTTTTCTCTCTTTCTTTTCTCTTCCTCACTCTGGAATGGCCTCAAGTTTCTTGTCGTTTTAGGATACCAACATCTAGGCCTTGACGAGGCTTGATGGATATGCACCTTTGTAATCTTTGTCTTCTCTTGGATGGACTGGGGGTGGGTGGGGTGGCCGGCGTACAAGGACAAGGCGGGTTCCTCACTGGATTGGGGCATTGGGAATCGTGGCTTTTCGCTTTATTTTAACATACCCTATTTGGTAATGTAGTCTCTGAAGAAAGACAGCGTTGAGTTTCGCACTTCAAACATGGTTCCAGTCGGGATTGAGCTGCCCCAATGATGCCATCGTCTTTCTTTTCTTTTCGTGGTCTGGGTTGGGGATGCCCCCCCCCTGATAGGACTTTGTGAGGCGGTTGAGGATCTAACTTTTGATGGGATGTACGCGGTACGGATGTCCTGGAACCCAACTGAGAGAGACACCTGCCGGGTAAAAAACGTCAGGAATGGGCAGCTCAAGGGCTCAGCCTATTGATAGTCCACTTGTCCTCCCCATGCTCGTCGCCCTCGACCTTGTCGTACACGAACCGGTCGTGCAGCCGGTTCTCCCGGCCTTGCCAGAACTCGACCCTGTCCGGCACGATGCGCAGCCCGCCCCAGAAGTCGGGCACGGGGATCTTGTCCTCACCGCGGAATCGCTCCTCGACCTCGCCGACCCACCCCTCGAGCTGCGCCCGCCCGTCGTCCGGCCTGCCGTCTTCGCCTTCGGCGTCGGGCCGGGGCTCCAGCACCTGGCTCTGCCGGCTCGCCCACGCGCCCAGCCGGCTGCCCCGGACGCGCGTGTCGAAGTAGGCCTGGCTCGCCTCGGGGCTCAGCCGGGCGGCGACACCCTCGACGCGCACCTGCCGCTGCAGCGCCTCCCACCAGAACGTCAGGCTCGCGTGCGGGTTGGTCGCCAGGTCCGCCGCCTTGCGCGAGGTGCCCAGGTTCGTGTATACGACGAAACCGCCGCGCGCGTCGAGCTCCTTGAGGTACACCATGCGCGCCGACACGCGGCCCGACGGCAGCGACGCCGTCGAGAGCGTGCACGTCTCCGGGTGCGCCACCGCGTGGGACTCCTGCGCCGCCGTGAACCACGCGTGGAACTGCGGCACCGGCGACGACGGGTGCAGGGAGGCGCGCGAGAGGGTCGAGAGGGTGAACTGGTCTGCGCGGGTGTTCTGCGCCGAGCCGGCGGGCGCGACTGGTTGACCGGGTTAGTTCAAGGAGGGGGGAGGGGGGTTGCGTGGTGAGCGGCGGAGGTGTTTTTGGACGGAGGTAAGTAATGAGTGGGTGTGCGAGTATGAGCATGAGGTGGTAATGATTACATCCTCGATATCTCTCTCTCTCTCTCACTCACCTCTCACACACACGCCCTCACCCACCCGATACTTCCCCCGCCCACGCACACTCATCTGCCCTCCCGTAGCGAGTAGTAGCCAAGGATGCTGGACTTACAAATGAGCTTGTCGCTCTCGGGAGGCGGGTGAAGAGCCATCTTGAGCGATCGCGATAATCGGTGGGCTAGGCTGGGCCTCATACGACTTGCTTCACACAGAGCTCCAGGCTATCTTGCGCGGGGCCGCCGTATCTGCCAGCTCACAGTTAGCCCGAAACCCCGCCCTCTTGCCTGTCTGATTGGTAACAAGATACCAAAAATAATAAGTGGTCGCGACAATCGGCAACGTGTGAGTAGCCGAGCAATTGGTGTGGGTGTCTCGCGGGCTCTCCCTTCGTCGTTGCAGCAAGGGGACAGGAAAGGGCGAGGAAAACAAATGAGGTGACTCCAACACGAGGAAGTGTTTATGTCATGATCCCACCACTCCTATGATGCTTTTGGGGGAAATGAGGGGCACAAAGACTCGAATGGAAGACGTCGGACCCCACATGGCACATTCCAAGAGCAGAATGTTCCATGCAGGGAATTTCGGATGGATTTCAGATGCGGAGCCCACCTGCGGCGCGAGCAGGGGGGGCCAGGCCGGCGGAGGGGCCTCCGATCGGACCTACCTAACCCACCCACAGCCACTTACTTGCTGACTACACATCACACAGAAAACAACATATAAACACACATATACGCAAACACATGACGGAACCAACGCAACAGACCAAATAAAACGTATTTCATTCCGTACATACGACGGGGGTATCATATCGTAAACGTCATCCAGATACGCAACATACGCAACGTACGAAACAAACGCACGTAACATACGAGACGCACTGCCCAAACATGTAAACCTAAATAATCCCAGACATAACCCTCTCAACGCCGCGTGATGGCGCGAGCCATGACGTCTGAAGGCGTCATTAAACGCCAGATTTGAGGAATAGTTGCTTCCTACTTTTATGTCTATACTATGATCCCGAATCCAGAAAAGCATCGCAAACCAGAAACACCAAAGCCACCCAGTCTTGAGGCTCTAAACTTTTTTGTGAGGTATGCTTTTCTCGTATCCCGGTTTCCCATACAAATTAGGAAAAAGAAAAGAAAAAGTGAAATCACGCTCTATGGCGCCATAACCAACGCAAGCAACGCCATGCGGCAGTACAGACCATATCTCATCTGTTCAACCTGTTAGCCAGTCTGTTGACGCCCAATTTGGGGGGTTCAGAGGACTTACCTGTCTAAAGTAGGCCGCGCGCTGGTCGGTGTCAACCTCGGGGGCAATCTCCTCGTTCCTGGGCAGAGGGTGCAGAATGCACATGTCCCTCTTGGCCGACTTGAGCGTACGGTTGTCGATGCGGTAAGAGTTCTTGACCTTCTCATACTCCTCCGCCGACGGGAATCTCTCCTTTTGGACGCGAGTGCAGTAAAGCACGTCGCTGCGGCCGAGGATCTCAGGGGTGAGTTCCTCAGATTCGCACAGGAGCTGGCCAGACTCGACCAGGAAATTGCGCACTTCAGCAGGCAGGGCAAGAGCCTTGGGAGAGACAAGCTGAACCTGCACACCGTAATCACGGAGGAGGTAGATCAGCGAGTGAACGGTGCGGCCGTAAAGCAGGTCACCGACGAAAGTGATGGTGAGGCCCTGGACGGTTCCGAGCTCTTCGCGGATAGTGAAGAGATCCAGGAAGGCCTGAGTCGGGTGCTCCTTGCTGCCGTTGCCGCCGTTGATGACGGGGACGGGAGCGTATCTCTTGGCGATGTCGACGCTGTGCTCGTCGGGATGGCGGAGGACAACGGCGTCACCGTAGCAGCCGAGGGTGCGGAGAGTGTCCTGGAGGCTCTCGCCCTTCTGAACAGAAGAGTGAGAGGTGGCAATGGCCACGGTGCGGCCACCGAGTCTCTGCATGGCGGCGTCAAAAGAGGCCGAGGTACGAGTGGACGGCTCGTAGAAGAGAGTGCAGAGGACACGGCCGCGGAGCACGTTCAAGACACCCTCGCGCTGAACGCCGAGACGCATCTGCTGGGCAACAGTGAAGAGGTGGTGCAGATCAGCGCGAGTGTACTGGCTGACCGAGAGCACACTGTGGTGCTTCCAAGACGAAGGTTGCGACAGCAGATCCTGTAGCTTCGAGCCAATAACCGGGTGCAGAGGGGCGGGGAGGCCAAGATCCTCGAAACCGCTCATGCTCTTGTTGGGCAAGAAGCCGTCAGCGGACCGGAGCTTCGAGGGCCTGGTGGCGTTGAACAGCGAGGGACGACGGTCGCGAGGGCTGTCGGGGTGCGTCAGGGACTGCATCTGGGGCTTGATGGCTGGGGACATGGGCAGGGCGCCGTGGGTAGACATGTCCTTGCCCAAAGCCGGCAGGGGCAGCAGCTCGCCGTCCAGGCAGACCGTCTGGTCCTGGAAGGTCACGCGCTCGACGGAACCACGCATGGTACGGCCGGCGAAGGGAGACCAGCCGTTGGTGTTGTGGACAGCGTAGGGACGGTCGATCTCCACCTCGACGCTGGTTCCCACCTGCTCGTGCAGCTCAAAGATCTCCTTGGGGTTGTCGTAGAGACGGGTCTTGATGTCGTCGACGGTCAACTTGCCTTCAGTCACGGAAGTGAGCAGAAGGGGCAGCGCGTCGGCGATGCCAACGTACGGATCCGCGTCCTTGCCCAGAGAGCTGGCGAGCTGATACGGCAAGCTGCCAATGGAGAAGACGTCGATCGTACTGAGGTGAGCCCAGAGGGCGGCCTGGTCGGCTTCCGTGGGGAGGAGAGCACAGTCGGGGAAGTCGTTCTGGGAGAGGTAGAGCGAGAAGACGGACACGTCACAGGTCACTTTCAAGCCCTTGGCCTTGCTGAGGGCAATGAGCTTGATGTCATCCTTGGTGGAGACGGAGGTGACGTGGATCCTCCGGTTGTGCAGGCTGGCCAGGAGCAGGATGGAGGCCAGGTCCGTAAGCTTGGCATCAGTGACGATGGGCTTGTGCGTGGGCCACTTGTCGAAGTGGGCGGTCACAGCAGCAACCTTGCTGATGTTGCCGGACAGGTGGTTGAAGGGAATGAACAGAGACCCAACCTCACCAGTGACATGGCTGATCTGGTCAGCGTTGTCAGAGGTGGCGGTGACGGAGAAGTTGTAGTCGCAATATCCGCCCTGCTTGCTGCTCTGCTGGGCGATCTTCAAGGTGATGGCGTCCGTGATGGAACCGGTGACACCGACGGGCATGATGCGGACCATGCTGAAGCCGGCAGAAATTGAAGCCTTGGTCACGGCCTGAAGATCTTTGCTGCCAGCGGTGGCAATGCCGGGAACGAAGGTAGCAACGTTGATCAGGCCTGGCAGAGAGATGGTGCGGTGGCTGGTTTGGAAGTCGCGACTGCCAACTTCGAGGCCGAAGTGGCGGGCGATGGCCTCGACGAGGATCTTCGCGTTTTTGACGTTAGTGACCAGAGGGATCTGGTAGTCAACGGCCATACGTCTGGTCTGGTAACCCTTGCTCATATAGTTGGCTGGACGACGGTACTTGTTGTTGGAAGGCAAGTTGATGTAGAGATCAATCATGTTTTTGGCCAAGTGCTGAGTCAGGGAGAACTCGGAGCGCTGGTCCTCCTGCTCGTTGGCGAGGACCTCGAGGTACTGAACAGGGATGTTGTGCTCCTGGAGGAAGTCAGCGGTGCCCGCAGTGGCGAACAGCTTGTATCCGAGACGGGCGAGCTTGTCGATGGCGGGCAACATCTCCTTCTTGTCCTTGTATGAACCGATGGACAGGAGGATGTTGGCCTTGGGAATCTTGAAGCCAGTAGACATCAAAGCCTTGAGGTAGGCCTCATACTTGTCAACACCGAAGCAAGCAACCTCTCCAGTGGAGGCCATCTCGACACCCAGGACGGGGTCAGCGCCAGAGAGACGAGAGAAACTGAACTGGGGAACCTTGACACCGACACAGTTGGGAGCGATGGTGGTAGGGGGATAGGCCTCGAACGGCCGGCCGGTAATGGCCTTGGTGGCCATCTCGATCATATCGACACCCATCACCTTGGAGACGAAGGGGAAGGATCGGGAGGCACGAACGTTGCACTCGATGACCTTAATGTCGTTGTCCTTGGCAATGAACTGGATGTTAAAGGGGCCAGTGACGTTCAGGGCAGCGCCAATCTTGCGAGTCGCCTCCTCAATTCTGGCAATGGTTTCGGGCTCCAAGTCCTGGGGAGGCAGGATGAGGGTGGCGTCACCGGAGTGGACACCAGCGTTCTCAACGTGCTCGGAAATGAAGTGGCCAATGACAACACCGTCCTTGGCAACGGCGTCCATTTCAATCTCCTTGGCGTTCTCAATGTACTTGGTGATGACGACGGGGTGCTCGCGCGAGACCTCAGCGGCCTGGTCGAGGTAGTTCTCGAGATCCTGCTCGGAGTAGACGGTGTTCATCGCAGCACCCGACAGGACGTACGAAGGTCGCACCAGGACAGGGTAAGACACAGCCTTGCAGAACTTCTTCGCCTCCTCGAAGCTCGTCAGCTCCTTCCAGGTAGGCTGGTCGACACCAATGGTGTCCAGCATACGAGAGAACTTGTAACGGTTTTCGGCATTGTCAATCATCTCAGGAGAGGTACCGAGAATCTTGATGCCGGCGCGGTGCAGCGGCAGTGCGATGTTGTTGGGCGTCTGTCCACCCATGGCACCGAGGACGCCAGCAGCGTTCTCCAACTGGTAGATGTCGAGGATGCTCTCGAGGCTGATAACTTCAAAGTAGAGCTTGTCGGCCTCGTCGTAGTCAGTGCTGACGGTCTCCGGGTTGTAATTCACCATGATGGTCTTGAAGCCATCCTGGCGAAGGGTGCGAATGGCGCGAACGGAGCACCAGTCGAACTCGACGGAGGAACCGATGCGGTAGACACCGGAGCCCAACACCATGATGCCATGATCATCGAAGGAGACGTCGCTCTCAGTGGCGTTGTAGGTAAGGTACAGGTAGTTGGTGTGGGCGGGGAACTCAGCAGCGACTGTGTCAATCTGCTTGACGAACGGCATGATGTTGGCCTCCTGTCTCAGGGTGCGGACGGCGATCTCGTTGGAGCTCCAGAACTTGGCGAGCTGACGGTCAGAGAAACCAAGTCTCTTAGCCTGCAGGAGGATATCAGGAGACCTGGAGATGTCGCTGGTGGTGTAGTTGGACATGGTCTTGGCGAAGTCGCTCAGGCCCTTGAGCTTGTTGAGGAACCACTTGTCAATCTTGGTGAGCTCCCAGATCTTATCAACGGTGTAGCCGGCGTGCATGGCGTTGGCGATGGCGAATAGACGCTGGTCGGAGGGCGTCTGGAGCTCGTCGTCGACGGACATCAAAGCCTTGGTCTCGTTAAATCCAAGGTTGTGGAAGTCGATAGCACGGATGGCCTTCTGAATAGCTTCTTCGAAGCTTCTGCCGATGCTCATGACCTCACCGACACTCTTCATGGAGGAGCCCAGCTGGGTGGAAACACGGGTAAACTTCTTCAAGTCCCAACGGGGCATCTTGACGACGACGTAATCG